CATGTTTTCTTACTTTGATTCATTCAGCCACAAATAAGGGCTTGACCCGTGTACGACCTGTGACCACGCACCGCACTATTTCTGACGGGAGAGCCAAGGGAATAGAGATACTAATGCCTGGAATACCTCAGTCCATTTCTAAATAGTCAAAGCAATCTTTAGTCTTTTAAAAGTCCACTCGAGAGGTGGCCTGTGAGAAGTGTGGTGGATATCAGTGGATCTAGAAGTCAAATCAACACCACATGGGAAATAAGGTGTTGAAATATCTTTGTATGTGCAGAACTGGCTTATGCCCCTGTCCAAACAACTCCAGCAGAGCGCAATGATTTCCTTTGGGGACTCCCGGGTAATTGTCGTGTCAAATAGTAGCTGCTGTGAAATACACAGAGGCCGACGTATAGAAATGAGAGGGTAAGCTTTTTCACTCACTCCATCAAAAGTATTATTTAAAAAACCCATACAATTTACAGAATAAAAGAATGAAAGATAGTTATGAAAAAGGGTTGGGTTCCCTCCTATAAGCTAATACAGCTTGCTTGGAGCTACTTTGCACTTATAAACTTTGGAAACTTGTACAGTATGTGTATGATTTGGAGAAGTTCTGTAAATATATTGAATTTAATTGGATGTAAATTGAATGCTTATGAAATTCAAAACCTCTCTCACCCATTCAACACAGATTTGGAGAAAACTTCAAAAAGAACGTTTCAGAAACATCAATCCATTTTCTTCTCCTTAATCCCTTTCTGGGTCGGGGTGGCAGTCAGAGCTGCAATCAGTACACATAGCACCAGCCCCTCACTGATCCTCCTGCAGGTGGTGAGTGAGGTGGAGGATCTTCCAGTGGGGGCTTCAGGCAAAGTTGGGTTAAGTGTCTTGCCCAACGACAGCAGTCATCAGTGAGAGTCGGTGGAGAAGGCCCTTCAGGCTCAAAGGCCAATGCTCTACCAACTGAGCCACGGTCGTACAGCCACAATACAGCCAAGCCGTAACGATAGAAGAGAAAATAATACACACACAGGACACAAGCCCAAACACTCTCCGACTAGTTCGACTGGTTTGTATCAAGCACAGTATAGCCAGTGCATTGGTGTGGGATTCAAACTCCTCTACTGTGGCCTATATGTGGACATGATATACTCTGTTTGATTCTGTATTGGTGAATGGACAACTTTGTAATGTCCCCCAAGATGACTGCTGTTGTGATTTATGGATACATAAAGATGTATTGAATTGAATTTCCAAATGTACCTGTTGCAGTTTATATACATGCGCTTAATAGTAAAAAAGTACTATAGTTGCATTAACCAGTTTACATTTTACAATTTTGTATTTTTGTGTCTGTACACTGCAAAAAATATGAATAAAATAGGTCAAACATTGATCAAATTTGGCTAAATGCTATTTTAATTGAGCACATTTTTACTCCCTTAAAACAACATTTGCCAATGGGACAAACACAAATATCTTGTTTTAATAAGATACAAGAAATGTCTCCCTTGGAATAAGATAATAAAGTTCTTGAACTAAGACTAATTGGCTTAGTTCCAATTTCCATTGGAAATGGAAATTGGTTTGAATATACTCCATATTTGTATCACTTTAAACTATAAAAACAGGTCCATAGTCTGCTGATTTCTTTCTAACAGTAAAATTACACTCATCGTTGACTCACGTGTTGTACGGACAATCATCAGCGTCCACTAAAGTGTCATCTCCAAAGACTTTCCAGACAAACATTTAGCTTTTCCCGGACAATGGATTGGCTTGTTCTTTGGTTTGATGAATGCTGCTTTATCATGCTGCTGGACGTCTTTCCTGCTAAATTGTGGTTTTACTAATCAGCAGCCTCCAAGCTCAATCGCTCACTCAGTCGCTTTACGTGAGCTATTGACGGACTGAATGGAAACGTCGCCATGTGTAAATAATTATACATTTAAACTGAGATGCATGTGCTCCTCAGCCGATGCAACGGTTAGTACACGTTGAGAAGAGTATTGCCATGGTCAGGTCATGCAACAGCTCTGCCGCGGTGACGCTTTTGAATGAAAGTCAAAACAGTAATGATCTGAGGGTGTGCACTTTACACGTGTGCGCCGCGTCGCCGGGAGGAGCGTGCACGTGCAGCCCCGAGTGGAACAGTGTGAGGAGAGCCCTGACTTTCAGCTATAGAAGCACTGTTGTTTTAACCCAGGCGTCCTAAAGCCCTGCAAAGTCGGGCTCCTGTAGAATTACACAAGTAACCAAGTATATGTGCATTAGATCAGGGGTCTGAAACCTGTAGCTCGCCACCCCCATCTCAGGTAGCACCCCCAAAGGATTTTGAAATTGCAAAATGTGTTGAATATTTCTTCATCTATTATTAACTTGCTCACAATCATCGTAAATGCAAACTTTGTGCAGTAGCAACACATTTGTGATGATAAATATTGACACTTGTTAGAGACAGTATCGAATCTTAACCATTTGGTAAAGGCCTATATTTAAAAACAAACTTGGGTTAAAAGTAATAAATAAATGTTTGTTATTAGTGCTACTACATACTACTACAAAATAAGAAAAATCTGCATTGCTTTTCCCAAGGAGTCTAAATTAAAGGGGCAAGTACATTTGCTTCTGTAATTCAACTTACATTGTGAAAGTAATATATATGACAGGATTATTACACACAGTCAGGTAAGAAAAAACTGACTTGTGACCTGTTTTTTTAATGTATTATTTAGGCTAACCTATATGTATAATATGTTATTGCAATGTTTGCTTTTTGCTGACATTTTACAACTTACCCAGGGACTGTATAGCTAATACTATATCTGCATAGCTAAAACTGGCATATTGAAAGTAAGTTTGATGAATATTGTAATGTTGCGATTCAAGCAAACTAATACAATTAAATAAATGAAGGAAGTAAATCAAGGCTTCTTTTTTTTATAATATTTACCTCTCAGCTTTTAAAAAAACCCATAAAATATCTGTAATATTACATCAATATATATATTCTTCAAAATGGACTGTAAGCCATGATGTCACTGTGCATGTACTGAGCCATAGAATCACATATAGAAATTACAGAAATAGATGGACTTTTCAGATTCAGATTCATTTATTTGCCATTTGCAGTAAAACCACATTGGAAAAACTGTGCAAGACTACCCCAGTGTGCACCAGACAGAGAAGACGACACACACCAGAGCTCTTGCATAACTGTCTGTGACCTCCTGTTACTTACGTGGCAATAAAAATGATTCTGATTCTGATTCTGATAACACAGTTCATGCACAAAAGTCCAAAGAACATAAAAATAAAAACATGGCGATAAAAATGATTCTGATTCTGATTCTGATTCTGATAACACAGTTCATGCACAAAAGTCCAAAGAACAGCAAAAATGTTTGCGTTCTGTGCTGCTCTTGTGGCACTAAAAGGATAGACATTTTTACTTTGGTGATTGACTGCATGGATTTGGTTGTATTACTAATGACAAAAAAATAACCATCTTTCATATTGCATTAAACGCTGGCATTTCTCCTTGGACACAGATCAGCTGATGTTAGGTTAGGTCTGTGGAGAGGCGACACTATTCTACCTCCTTTCTGTAAAGCATGATGGAAACAAATGAGACACAATGCATGTTTCCTGGAAACAAATTTCACCATCTCTAGAGGCGTAGTTTGGTGGACGAGACCCCCACTTTTATGTTTCATACCCCACCTTTAGCAAATGGAAACCTTCAGATCAAATGGCAAAGTTTTCCATGCTTTTCTCAGCTTGTCATAAATATTATGAACAGTGATGCAACTCAAAAATTTACTTTCTTGAGCAAAGATTGTCAAACTGCAGGGAATGTTCAGGCTAAAATTAAATATATACTGAAACAATTTGTGTGAGTGTGTATGTGTAGCATCTTTTGTAAATGTGGATAAGAACATGTAATTGAATGTATGCCTATATTAATTAGCTGTATTGTTTTCACTTTTGAACTATTTGCACATTTCCTGTCTTTCGCACACCCCAAGCAATCCTGTTGATGACAAATGTAAAATGAAAATTCATCCACTGTGAGATCAATAACGTTTTATCTTTTGATACATGAATTGTGCTAGGACAGCTTTGACTAAAAATGACAAGGAAATAACCGTAACTGCCAAAGTGAAAAGACTATGTTTAACCTCTCAAAAACCTCTCAATCAAATGGTCTTTGGTCATTTCCATCCAAACTTAACCTTAGACTGAATCACAGCATCCAGTAGCTGCTGTGGTGAACGCTTATCTATGTAATAAGTGTCAGAACACAGTTGCTTTCACCTACGGCTGTCTTGCATGAGTAAGAAGAATCCCTGGGGTTGCACAATATCCCAGCAAAGCCATGTCATTACAAGACAGACTGCAGAGTTAGACAGTTAGCAAACACCACCAGGATGTCACCATGTCAGGGTCTAGAGAGGTTAGCGGGAGCAGGCAGCCCTCAGCTCGTCTACCTGCTGCAGCTCTGAGCAAACAGGACAGATTCCAGCTAAATGTGGCACCTCCACGGGGAGCTGGCCGGTCAGAGGTGACGTGTTGATCTTGACCCTTGATCTCCAAAGGCTTAAACTAAAACGAATTATCGGAATGCTTGGTCTTGTTCAAGGCAAGACTCACTTTCTGTCAGCAGTTATCGTTTATGAGAAGACAAACCTGGCTGTTATGCATAACTCAGTTTTTATAATGGCATAGAAATACACTTTGAGAAGAAACAAAAAAAGTCACAAAGTTATGAAGATCAAAAATGTACAGGGGCTGAGTAAAAACACTTCCAAAACTTAAAGCCGTCAAATTGACTGCTCTGGGAGTTCTCGTGTTTAAGGCCTTGTATTTCAACACAAATGTATGTTACTCTCTCACCACATGCTTTTTCCTGGAATATGGTATGAAGGGCACGTCATTTGTAGCAGAGGAATAGTATGTTCTATCGTTGTTGTTCCATGCCTGCTACATGACAAACTGGAAAAATGCACTCTTTATAGCACCGTAAACATGCTTTTGCGGTGGCTGTAAACAAAGGCGGTGAATGTGAGCGTGTTTGGACCTGCCACCTCCCCTGGAGTCTGCAGCCTGCTCAGCACCTCTTCTTCCGTGTATGTCTGCGCAAAGAGACGTCCAGCAGGGTCCGGGTGCAGCGTGAGCACAGGGGGCCATGTGGATGTGAGGCGAGACAGGAGGAACCAAAACCATACAATCCTTTCATGCCACTGATGCTCGACCGCTTGTGTATTCTCTCCTAGAAACTTTATCTTGGAACTTAAATATTTTGACACATCTGGAGTCCATGTTAGCCGCTGCTGCACAGTTTTTTCCTCTGAGTGTTTTGATCATGCAGTGTTTCCATGAGTGGCTCCTCTCATGGCTTTACATGTGCAGTGGATAAAATCTCTGACCAATTGCATGCTATTATATGTTAGTGTATGAACATTTGACGGCTAATTGCCATTGCGTTTGCAGACTTTGCTGTGAACGTGCAGTGTCATGAGCCAGACTGGCAACCTTAAACCAGATGTGCACTGGTTGTATGCCAGTGTAGCCAGAGCATGCTGCGCTGGTGATGCTCTGAGGCAGTGTCTGGTCCTGGGCTGCGTCCAGCTCTATGACCACACAAATGCACTGAGGTGGGATCATCCAGCAGCCCTTCACCCTGGTGATGGAGTGATAGACCAGGCCTGTGCCAGAGAAGTGCATTTCCAGGTGCATAAGTGCTGACGGGATTGAAGCCTGTGATCTGTCAGATCATCGCTCACAGTCATACAGCAGGAAAGATTTGGATATAGTGTTGCTCTGGTGGCCATCATAAAAGTGACTTCTCAAAAGATAGGATATTATATTTACAATATTAAAATAGTTATACAAGTAAGTCCATTTTATACCAACCAAATGTGTTTCTGGATTTTCTTCAGGATCCATAGACTTTAGAATTATTTGTCAGATCAGAGCTTTGCATGGCAGCCACCTCTGGTTCTACTGGTCTTGTGCAGTGTGTCTTCCACAGACCGAGCAGATTAGAGCAGACGATAATGAACAGAGTTTGTTGCATAAATGTGTGGAATTATAGAAAGCGGAGCTCGGGCCAGGCTTAAGCTAGCAATACCATATCCAGATAATATAATTCCGCCATGAAAGCAATACATTACAGTATAGTAAAATATTTTATTTGCCTGATACAAATTATATTAAATCAAGTAATGAAAAAAAAAAAGATTCTTTAAAACAGTTAAAGAACAATAACTAACAAGAACTTTCAAAAACAGTTGATCCTCGCTCAAAGTGCATTTCCGGTGCAGGACGGTGGGATTACAGCCAGGCCGAGGGTCCGTGTTTGTCTTTGAGCAGCCAGATACTGTCAATCACCTTTCCATCCTGAAACACACACAGTTTCTCCACATGAACTCTCTCCATGACAGATTTAACAGCAGTACCATCTCCCCGGACTCTCACCTGGTCATCAGAGACCTGCTCGAGGTACAGGTGTGTGGCGTTGACCGCTTGCATGCGCGTGTAGCCGTAGTCAGTGCTTCGAAAAGCGCTCCAGTCTTTGGGGTGAGGGTTAAACCTGTCGGTCCTCTCTCTGCAGCCCTGCACCAGTCACACATAAGTCACTGTGGTTTGGCTCTGAACCTGCTGCCACATTTCACACAGCAGCTGCTACACACCAATTATTTACATTGTTCAAAGCTGAGGTGCCCAACTTTTCCCTTCAAGTTGTATGTCCCAACAGAAATAGTCTTGTAATAGTAAAATAATTGGACCACCCCATGCTGGGTTGATGTTAATAGAAAACATATTATCTTTCAGTTTATTAATTTTTACCAGACATTTCTGACGATTCAAAAAGAGTTTCAGGCACTATTATTATTTCCATGTCAAAATAAGGTCTGAAAAAGGAGCAGAAGCTATGGCTTACAGACGCCTACCCTTTTATATACATTAAACTTAAATAATTATAATAAAATCAAAATAATGCATTTACTTCATAGCCTGGCCTTAGCCATCAGTAATCTCCAGTCTATTTTAATTTCCCTAAATGTACCGTCTGGGTCTCTTCCTAGTGGCTGCAGTTACCTATATCCGATCATTCAGCGAGCGGGGGAGGCGCGTGTTGAAGGTAGGTGTCGGTGACGTCAAGAGTTTGCGTCAAATTTGCTGGCAATTGTGGCAAGTGTGATTGTAAAGTAATCCGTTCTGATTCGGCTCCAAGTATCAAGAAATTGAAGATAAATTGAACCCCTCCCACCTGTTAACGGAGCTCAATGGCGCAAATCCAGACCTTAGTACAAAATTAAATGAGTACAGTGGTATGGTAAGACCAGGCTACTTACTTCATAATTATGATAATTTCCTGCTCAGCATTCACAATCAATGTGTTTTTGTCACTATTTGGCAGGAGCTAATTGGTTTTGACTTGTCTGTCTGAAAAAGTTAATCAAAAAGGTGTAACATGCATGTGAAAACTAATTATAGAACCAAATTAGTCAGCCAGATTTTCCTACTTTTTTAAATGCTTGTGGTCTGAAAGTAAGGTACCTGAGCTTCAAGACCTTGATCTATGAGAATACTTACAGCTGAACCGGTGATGATGTGAACAGGAGCTTTCGGGTTCACATATGGGTGCTCTGTGCTCCCGTTGTACACCTAGAGAGGAGTGACATTCACTTAGGAATATCTCTGTACAGTAAAAACTAAAACAAATCCATAGACCTTACCTTGTCTTTGTACACGGGCCAAAGTCTCTCATATGTGTGCTCATGTGCCCATAACTCCAAATCTACTCCTAGAACAACACAAGCAACAAAGCATGAACTCACAGAAAGAAGATCGCTGGTACCAAACACATACAGTTTTTCTCCATGTGCTTTTAAAGCTGGAGTACCCAACCTTTTTATTTATTTTTAGTAAATGCTCAATGTGGTTTGTCCCAACAGAAAGAGTTTTGTACAAGTAATGTGTTGTTTTGTTTCTTAAATGTTTTATGCCGTGACACTGTGGTGCTTGTGAGTTCTTGCTTTTTCTATACTCTATGCTTTTTCTGTTATAATTCCCTGTAATGAATAAAGAAATGAAAACAAAAATTAAATGTTCTAAATAAGACCACATGCTGCCTTCACGATTGGTTGAGTGAGGGTGGGTCCTCTTTTATGAACATTTCCGTCTGTACTCAGTCAGTCCACAGCTAATATACGGTGAGGAGCGTACCGTAATGGTAGAAGAGATCCTCCAGGCCCGGAGCAGGTGGTCTGGTGTCATTGCGTCCCAATCGCACCTGACGTACGGCAGAGAAACATCTCAGTGAGAACTAGCTAGCACCGGAGATTATATCCATGGGTTTAGATCAGAGGTGTCCAAGCTTTTGAGTACTTTAATACACTTAAAATGAGATATAGACTAATTTCCTCCAAAGCAACAAATGCCAAGCCTTTGAGTATGGTAATTTTGATGACTATGGCTTACGGGCCATTTTCCAAACATAAAAAAAATAAACAAATGGGGTTTTAACAACCCCAACAAACTTAGAGAATTTATCACAAACTCTAAGATCCTGCTTAACTTTTATTACTGTAGCATTTAAAGTTTGCTTGTTGGTTCGGTGACTATGTGGTTTGGCATAATCACAGCCAAAGAAAGGAGAGCTCTAAACACGGTGCTCCGCTCTGCAAAGAGGACTGTGAGCTGCCTGTTCTGCCTGTTCTGGAGGTTCTTTGTGAATCCTGACTTACACGATTTAGCTCGTTAAGATAATCAATAACTCTTCTGGACCCTGGAAAGGCCATGTTCCAGCTTCTTCCCTCTGGCAGAAAATATTGTTCGTTGAGATGCAGGCCATCTCGCTTTGCAAACAGCTTCTATAGTTGTAAACAGTTTAAACAGAGCACTTTAATGATCGCACATGTATTGAAACGGCTTTTGTTGATCAATTTCACAGTGACGATTGTTTCCTGCACTTTCATTTGTTTTACTTGTGTACTCTTAACCTTGATAATTTATATGCTGCCTTTTACCGCAACTAGCATATAAACGGAATCAACGAAATATCAACCTCATCTGTATCTCACTTTGCGTGTAATAAGTCATATATTAGTTTCATATTCATTGTAAGTTAAATTACAGAGATAAATGGATTTTTCAACAACATTTTAGGGTTTCACCTGCAAAAATTGTGATAGTATAAATGTATTCTATGTTTGAATAGTATATGTGTATTTTACAGCTGGAGATAAGTATTTATAACTAGCTTGCATCGTACATAAGAGTCAAAGCGAGTGCAGTCGTCTTGGTCGTCGTCTGAGCAGTACATCGGCCTGTGTCCCATCGTAACGACCCACGGACGCGCTGCTCTGTTCTCCGGCCGGTTTGCCTCCTGTGGAAAACATAAACGTGATGTCTACGTGTATGCGTTCACCACTGCGGGAGTAAATGCAGAGAGGGTGAAACTAACCTCCAGATCCTGCTTGAGCCACGCAAACTGCCTGAAAAGGAGGTCCAGTCCGAATTCCAGGTAGAAATAAACCTCAGTGGAGACTGAGATGAAGTGCACTGTCCCCAGGTTCCAGCTATGGACACAGAACATTAAAATTAGGCACGTCAAACTCAGCCACAAGGGCAAAATTCGACCTGTGAGACTATTTTTAGAGGCCCCTGAAACGATTTTCAATTATCTCGCAGTAACTTGTAGCCCAGCTTTTGTAAACCATAAAATAATATTAAAAGTTATGTCAAATTGTTGGCTATTTTTAGAATTATCTATCTATCTATTATCTATCTATCTATCTCTAATGTTTGTTTGGATTTATGTGTTTCTGCTGCTACTGGACACCAATAAAGTATCTATCTATCTAAATAGAGTTGATTCAAAAATATGTAAAAACAACTTGTATTCCCCTTTCTTCTGGCCCCAACCAGTTCTTTTGTTTTTAAATTTGGTCCTCGACCAAAATGAATTTGACTCTTCCGGTTAAAACGATGCAGCTCAAAAAACTTTGAACCTCATAACGCTGTCATAGGAACATTTGTTCTTGTAAATCTGAATGTAAACTAAGATCCATCCAAGTTAACATCAGGAACTTCTGGCACAAACATGAAACTCCGCCCCTTCTGTCTAAAAGCTACTCTCATGAAAAAAAAAATTATGGAATGAAAATACATATTTTCACATTTTCAGTAGATAATATATGGTGAAACAAGTATCAACGGTGAAAAATGCGATCGGCCAGCCCTATCCCTATGAGAAATGCCAAAATGAATTTAAGGGCAATACTTGACTGAAAAAGGAGCTTTGAGACAGATGGGACAGAATTAATTGTGAATGTCAGAAGCGGATTGCCGTAAAACATCTCCAGGTCTGTTTATTGATTAAGAAACAATGTTGATTTGGCAGAATATATCTCCTTTAAGATGATTCTTCACTGTTAAAGTTCACATTTCTCAATATAATTTGAATGGATGAAAATAAATGCATGATATTTCTTCTTTAAAAGAGCAAGAGAAGAGAGCAACACAATTCTGCCCTGAACAAAATGGAGAGGGATTGTGTGAGAGTTTCCAGTAGTTTTCAGAAACGTTTGAGGAAATGCAGTCGTAAGCGTGCACATGATGAAGAGGAGTGGAGCCAGCAGCAGCTCTGGCCGTGCTACTGAGGAGTGGGCAGCTGCTCTGTGGTTTTACAGAATATTATCTTTCTGTCTGTGAGAGAGAGAGAGCGAGAGTGGTCTGCAGACCCTCTGACTCACCCAGCGGGATGTATGGCCCCATTGTGCCGTGCCAGCAAAAAGCAGCTGGACACCGGACACAAGGGAGAAGGCCAATGAGTGTGTGGGTCAGTTTTATTGATAATTCAGATTGCACGCCATGCACAATATAAGCATAGGCATTTGTTTTTTCCTTTATTGATAGATGTACAATGAGATGACTTTAAATTGAAGCACAACATCCAATCCAAGTATCTGAACACATAGAAACATGGACTGGACGTGGCTTAGAGGAAAAGTGTTCCATTGTAACGACTACTACACACAGCAACTGACCCTTGTGCAATGCTTCCCAACTGGGGGTATATGAGCCCTAGGGGTCTGTGGGGGTCCTTTGCAAAGCGTTGATAGAATGAGGTGTATAATTGAAGTTAGTAAAAACACTTTGGCTTGTTGCAAACTGAAAGACTCTCTTACTTTTGGTCCAGTTTAAGTTCAGACCAAACAAGTACTAATTTTGTGCCAAAAAGTAAAATAAAATCGAACATGTGGTCTAAATGCCTACATAATGTACAAAGAAATTAACAGATGAGTTAAAACACAACTTTGCCAAGAAGAAATTAGTTGTGGGGATTTTTTTTTTCTTTACAGAAGATTCTTGTGCTCTCGTCCCTCCTCTCTTTTGTCAGATGATGCAAATGTGTTTTTTATGAGTTGTAAGCCTTGTTCGTACCTGTACCAGAGGCCCTCCGTCTGGCCTGGCATACTGAAGCGGTTTCTGTAGTTGGAGAAATTACTGTGAACAACAAAGAGAAAAGCATAATAGTGATTATCTGTTTATCGAGGCAATATTCATCCATCCATCCATCCATCCATTTTCTACCCTTTAATCCATTTCTGGGTCAGGGGGGTGGCAATCAGAGATGCCACCCAAGTCTCATAGCACCAGCCCCTCACTGTCCCTCTGCAGGTGGTGAGTCCACAGGAGGACGGCTGCTCTCTGAGCGGCCTTGATCTTACAGTGGGGGCTTTTTGGGCAAAGTAGGGTTAAGTGTCTTGCCCAAGGACACAACGACAGCAGTCATCAGTGGGAGTCGGTGGAGAAGGTGTAGAGGTGGGAATTGAACCCACGACCTTCAGGCCTTAAGGCCAATGCTCTACCAACTGAGCTACTGTCGATTTATACCAATATTCATAAAATTGAAAATACAGTGTCTTCAATAGGATTTGAATTGTGCACCAGGATTGTTTTGCGTTTCCCCAGTTTCTTCAACACCCAACAGTGCTGCATGACGGAGCAATGAGATAAGTAACACTCAAATCTCCCTAGCAACTTACTCCAAAAACAGTCGTATCCACAGACTGCACAAGTGGCTTGAAACTTACACAAAACCATGTTTAGTTTGTAAACTGGATGACATGCGTGCCAGCTTCTCCTGCGTGCCGATAAATCAAGCAGCAAAGCCTCACATGAGGATAGAAATACATAATTTTTTATAAAACCATTTCTATATTGCAGAGTAAAGCTGTCCGTCTTTAGAGGTTTAGTCGATAAATCTGTCAATGGTTTCTTAGTAGACCAATTTTACCTGAATTACGAGGACTTCTAAGAAAACAGATAACATTTCTCAATCATACTCTCTTTATTAATAGCAATTTTAGAACATTTTATACCAAATTTTTTGTCAGTCCAGTTTAGGTCAGATATAATGCATGGATTAAAGAGATTTTGCTGTGCCCAATTTTTAAGTTTATAAAGTGCTTCTATACCAGACAGTTGTAAGATACTTGACTGGGCATATTGCAGACAGTTTAACTATTGTGGTGATAATGATGTGTGGTACTTTTTTTTATGAAGACAACAGGGGAAAAAACAGCCCTTAACATAGGCTTTTATAAACGTCATGTTCCTTGAAGGCTTCACCTGGGGTTGCAGTGCCATCAGGTGGACATTCTTTGCAACAGCAGCACAATAGAAGCAGATGTAAAGCAGAAACGTTTTCATTTATACATAGATAGTTCTAGCATTAAAAAAAGAGCATAATACGGAAATACACATTTATCAAGTAAAAAATATTTGTTATTGATTTTTTTTTATCCAAACCAAGCGATCAGACTTTTATCCTTCACAGACATATTACATTTTGTATTACAGAGAGGTATAGGGAGCTCTACAAGGATGTACAAATGTGAGATTGAAGCCAGCCAGGAGTTTTTTGGAGATTGTGGGGGAATTCCTTAATGCAAATACAATTTTATTGAAACTCAATGGTGCGAGTACATAACATGGTCAAATAAAGGCTATTTCACTTTTTAACCATCAGAGTGCCTCAGAATGTTTTATTTTCTTGTGTTTCAAGTGTAAATTACTCACACATGAATTAAGCAAGTATAAAGTATACAGAGCACACCTGGTAAAACTGTGGGCTGGGGGGCCACATGCGGCCTGATTCATATTTCTATGTGGCCCCTGAACCTTTCACAGTAATAATTTGTAAACAAAGCAAACAATTGTAAATCTGTCTACAATACTCCGCCTTCTTAAAATTTTGTCTTGTTTTGGTTCAATCCAAGCAAAACCAAATAGTAATATTGTGAACCCATTATTAATAAAATAACCACATGCTCAAAACACCTTCATAATGAAAAACGCTTAAAACAAAACAATAGCCTCAGATGCTAGAGCTACGAACAAACGTTATACAAACACAATGAAAACACCAATGATGATCCATGGTCTCTCTCATTAAATTAAATTATAAAACATGATCTCAATGTGGTCCCTTAGAGAAAACAATTGCCCACCCCATTATAGCGCTAAAGATTACATGCTAAAGTCTTTTCCAACACAACTTTGAACAGTGACTTTAGAAGCACCTAATCCATTCTGATGTTGTGTCTTAGACATTCAGCTCCCGTGACTCGACAAACTTCCACATCCCACACTGAAGCACACATTACACAGAGTGAACAAAGAGCATCTTTTGAGACTGGCCTCATCTGAGTGGAATTCAGAAAGAAAGCGGCTGCGGTTAGCGCTCTTATAACCGCCTGATACCCTTCAAGCTCTGAGGTTGGAAACAGTCGGCTACAGTGAAACAGAGCGAGAAGGAGAGAGCCACCGCCAGCATCTGGGAACTTTGGATTCTTCAGTGCACCACAAGGCAAAGCACACTCTGAGAGCGGTGGAGAGAGGAGGCCTTCTGGTTATGTAATATGTCTCTCTTGATATTAGACTCTGATGCTGAGACGAGGAGCCAACAATAAGGACCTAGCATTAGAGCTTCTTCACGATGAGAGCCTCTGTCCAAATGGTAAATATTATTCAGCAGGAAAGTATAAATCAGGTGAAATATGCATCTTGCGCAAGTTAATTTAGTGGGGAAATATAGTAACAGACATGGTGGACGATTGCCTGCCAGGATGACGAGCAGCTTCAATATTCTGAAAACATGTTGACAAAAATAAATTTGTTCTATCATAATAAATAACACGATTGATTTATGTACTTTACAAGCTCATCATTTATAGACCGCTCTGAAGCTGACAAAAGCGGGATGAAAATAGTTAGAGCCTTTCCCTTGGTTTTGGGTTTTGTGTATTTGTCCAGACATTTTTGGGGTTCTACCATAATTCAATTCAATTCAATGTATTCTTGTAAAGCCCTATATCACAGCAGCATTATTCTCAAGAGGACTTCTCCAAAACAGATCTGGGAATCAAACCGTTCAAACACAAGAAATAAAACAGAAAACACATTGGTATTGGTCCAAAAGGGGCAGACGACCAATGATCCATAAGTGTTGATGAAATGACCATAAAGTGTCCTGGATCATGTTTGAATCCCTGGCTGTAGCCTGTTGGGTTTGTTTTTATCTGGTTGGTCTGCTGCCTCATTTTTTAAAATTTTGTCAGGCTCTCAGATTGTTTTTTTATTTAGTATTTTTGGTTTTGTTCTGAATGGCGGTTGTTGCTTTTCTCTTATTTAGAAAAAATCAAAATCACATAACATTTTATTAACATTTGTTATAACACAATCAACCTTCCACAATCAGACAGGCAAGTGTGTCTATCTAAAATAATTACGTATGGGGACATTTTGTTTCTTGCTTTGTGTAGATCGGACTTAAAGAAGTCAGTGAGGCTTTTTGGTCTCTCTCTGGTCAGTGAGGCCAATTGTGATCATCTATTATTTATTATGTTGATTATTTTGTTGAAGAATGTGCATATGTAGTTTGTGTGCCTTTGTGTCCTTGTTCTGTACTATTTTTATTATAAAATGAAAGGTTGGATTGTAATTTAATTTTTGGGGTGGGGTGCCCATAATCTTCTTGCTTCAGCCCACTCATTTTGTGCAATATTAATATTATTCAAATAAATAAATAAATAATGAAGAAATAAGTTAGTGAAAGACCGAATGTCTGTGTGTGCACAACGCATGAATTATGACAGTGACTCGGACAGCAGAGCTCTAAATGCCAATCTCATCACAAGAAAAAACGACAGCGCATAAAATATTTACATTTTCTCAACTAAACATGAAATATCACATGATTTAATGATAACGACTTATTTGGTTTGAATAGAAGAAGCCTTAAATCCTGAGCCTTGAGACCTGGGGACAAGACAGTGTTTTCTATCGGAGAATGCTTTCTTTGGCTGTAAGAAGTTCCTGATGCTGTTCCAGTCTTGTGGGACCAAAATAGCTCCACCGTGTGCCAGTGGTGCGGAGAAATGTTCAGACTAAAATGTTCTTCTCATTTACAGTGGCCAATTGTGAAGTCATTTGTCATGCGGTGTTTGGAAGGCTCCCCTACACTATGTGCTCTCGTCTTTGTCCAAACCCATGAATTCCTCCAGTACAACCTTGAGAAAGCGGCGGCTGACGGAGAGCAGACGTTAAGTGGAAAGAGTGTTGACAAGTTTTATGCTGAGCTTTCACTTTAGACACAGTGGATGTGTTTATAGGCAAATGTCAAATGATCAGTGAGAAGCAAACCTCAAGTAAGTTTGCAGAGAAGAGGAAGAGGTAAATGCAAACCAAAACAACAGAAACTACTGCATCACTTTTAGCCTACAGTAGAACTAGTAATAATGGTTCTACATGGACTGGCCTCCTGCTGGCGCAAGAGTCAGGACTGGACATGGAGAAGCAGCGTTTCAGATTCAAGCAGTTAAAATCTGGTACAATCTTTCTGAAAATGTGAGACAGGCTTCTATTTCAACAATGTTCAATTGCTCATGTCCTCCAAAACGACCAATGTTGTGCTTTAGGGAAATACATAAATACATTGAATTTAATTGAATGTTCAATCTAAGCACAAGAAAAACCTCTCATGGAACCATTCCGGTCGCGGATCCCATCAGAAAATAATTTGATGCAGCTTTAAATATGGTTGGTTAAAAATTCCACAATTTACAGTTGGAAAATTAGGTACCCCAACTGTTATTGGTTATTGCTTGTATTTATAAGCTACAATCAAACAATTCAAATCATTATCTATAGAAACATATTTTATCTTTATACTCCCTGCTCAAAAGGAGAGGGCTGAAGCAAAAACCTTTTAAGCGACCCTCCCCGACTCTACAGTAAAAAGTTAATTCTCAATGGTGTAAAGGGAACAACCAGACTCCATGATAGAGATGCTCAAGAGGGAACAAAATAGTGAATGTGCCTAAAGAAAAAATAAACACGTGTTGGAACGAATTAACAGAGGATTTAAAAACATGTTATCACAAATCTGATTGCATTTAAAAGCTAAGAAATAAGTACTGAAGAAATACGAGAAGGAAAAGCTAAATTCAGCACAGGGCGAGTGGCGGGAGAGAGGTGTAGGGTCAGAGAGTGTTTGGGCCTGTGTGTGTCTGTGTGTGTGTATATGTTGCTTTTGACCATATGATATGCTATTGTGTCACTGTTCCATGTTGAAGTGAACATATTATGATTCATTATTATTATCATCATTAATATTATTACAAGCGTTGGTTGTGGCTGAACCATGTGATCGGTGACTTACTATGTCGCCTCGTGGTTGCCGGGACAGGTCATGTAAGGCACGTAGGCTGCGATGGCCTGGATCTGTCTCATGAACTCGTCCCCGATCCTGCCGTTGTCCTGGAACCAGCAGCAGTAGCAGACATGACGCTACATATTTCACATAGCACCAGACGCGACCAGAGCACTTTTGTCCAACGTTAACCACTACAGCAGACTTCCAGGGACGCACTGTATCATTCACATAGCCCCGAGGTCTGTTTTTCTATTTTAAAATATAGCCAGAACCACAGGATATGTTTTTGCGTTCAAGCTGACGGCCCGACGAGGATGTGGTTTTATTAATTTGAACAAATCTATGTGTATTGCTGTAAAAAATTTTATTAACAACGAATGAATTGGAAGCCAACTCACATTTTACTGCATTAGTAAAGAATCTATAGCATTGCATATTATAGAAAAGGAGAAATGGATGGACATATGGAAACTATCTATTCTATCTATACTATCTAATCTATTGATCTACTTTGGGTAGTTCTTATTTTTGTTTCATACATTCTTTAAGTTGGCCCCAACAAAGAAAGTGTAGACATGACATGTAGCATCATGTCATTTAAGAAACATTTAGTGAACAACTCAGACCACAACATTCTGTCTGTCTCTTATTAGAATTAGAATCAAAGAGTGATTGTGGTCCACTCTTTTTCACTTTTCTGTCTGAAAATGCTGATCCAAATAAAAGAGAGAGGCCAAAGACACATGTGAAAACTAGTGATAGAACCAAACTTTTTACAGAGCGAGGGACAAGTTAGATGGATTTTACTATGTTGCTTTTGTGGTTTCAAAGTTAGGCTCTTCAGATTTAAGTGATTTCTCCAGAAGACACTATAGAAATTGAAGAAGGGTCACAATGGTCAATTTAGATTTTTTTATCTTTCTTGATTTTACTTTTACACAGATTTAGCACAGTGAGAAAAGTCATTAGTGAGATCATAAATACTTTAGGGCTGTTCTTGATGAAATATTTCTACCCATGTCTAAAATTTCCACTAATATATAACATGAAGGGTGTCTTACCTCGTGCATGTCGTAGGCAAAGTCACCTAAAATAAAAAAAAGATTGTGGTAACATGATTTGTGTTCAATCAAACGCCCAAGTATCTTTTTAATGTATATGTGACGTGGGAGTGATTGTGAAGCCCACCTATGTGCAGAATGACGTCATACATCCCCCGCTGAGTCTCCTTCTGCAGCCGGGCCAGTGACTGTGGGTTCTCGTTGCCTAGGTCACCGTACAGGGCAAACTTTGGGCTGAAGAGGAGGCTGTCATTCAGAGCTGTAAAGTAGAACACCTCGCTCCAGCCCTCGTCGCTGCCACAGTGGTACACTAAAATAGGGTCCAGGGTTAGGGTTATAATCAGGCCAAAGAAAACAATCGCTTCATTTTCCACAAAAGCAATTATTTGGTAAACATAAATTCAGGATTGTATAAAGTCACAGGTACAAACTACAAAAATCCACAAAAACTTGATTGTTGGTTTTCCTGTTTTTTCCAACATTTACTGTTGATGTTGAAGAATGAAAAGTTGGCAGTTTGAAATACAGTGGTATAATACATTTATTCAGGAACTGTAGGTGCCAAGTGAAATTTTAGTTACATTTTGTGTGTTTTATTGAGATAAGAGAACCTTTTGTGCGTCCCATAGTGGGGAAATGGATTCTATCGGACCTATGAATGCACATAGATCCATTCTCCATATATTTTGCACACACCCAGACTCGACCTCGACCTGCGGCCCCCAGATAAATTGAGTTTGAGACCCCCAGTCCAATCCAACATTTCTCAACTGACCATAGGTGGATGCTGGTTTGAGGCCACTGAGGACGACTCTGTGGATGTACATGGCTCTTTTCTCATCTCCAGAATCCACAAATAAAGTGCTCATTCCTTGGACAGAGGTGTCGAAGAGCCGGGCTCCCAGAAGCCCGTACTCCACAGTACTGTTGGTGCTGTTGAAGGTTGTCCAGGTCACCTCCATAGAACCAGGGACTCCTACAGGAACAGGATCAGACATTGGTTTTAACATTTCAATTTAAAAAGAACATGTATATTTAGCAGTTCTGGCAGATATTCACTGATTAGATATTGTTTTTAGGTTTTTTGAATCAGATTTCTGGAACAAACAGACACAGACATGTCTATGATTTTAAAGTAGTTACATGATATTCCATGGACAGAACATAATCTGTCAAATAAAATTCTTTAACCGTGTTCCTCCACTTAGACCCAACCATGTTAGATTTACACAATACCACTAGAACAGAGGTGTCCAAACCGGTCCAGAAAGGGCTGCTGTGGATGCAGGTTTTCTATCAGACCCAGCAGGAGCAGAGCAGACCCCAACCATTTCCTCAAGTGAGCTCAGTCTCAACCTGAAGATTTGAGTAAATGGGAGGAGTCTGCTCAGCCACAGCGGCCGTTTCTGGACCGGTTTGGACAACTCTGCACTAGAAGGAAGTGTTGCTCTTTCTGTGTGTGCCTTTCTGTGCATGAGTGTGTGTTTTTGTAGTATACCATATGATATTGTGCTACTGTTCTACTAAATTGCTTTTAAACATTTCTGTAAAATTGTACCTGGGTATGAAAGGTGCACCTGCTCTGGTTGGGTCCATATGGGAGGAACACAGCACACGAGCCACGGAGCCAGACTCAACAAGTGACACACGGCGTAGAGTAGCTTCATTTCTATTGGTGCTCTGCGATGGAACAACACAGCGTCGCAAAATGAAATCACACAAGCATAATACAATCACAAGACTATAACCGTATTTTAAAGTGGACTCTGGAGTCTTACCCAAGCGTTGTAATGGCTCACATAATACAATGGTTTAATGAAGCCTCTGTGAACAGCTCGGCAACCTGACGGGGAAATAGACAGAGCAGAGCCGAGTCAGCAGAGCATGTGCAGTGAGAGATGATGATGAGTGGATAAAAGGAGCTGATGTGGTTTTTTTTATTGTGCATTTGGAGAAGTAGCAATGTCCAGTGAACCAGGGCTAAGTTCACACAAAATGTGGTGTGTCTGAGAGCAATGTATTTGAAAGAAATGGCCGACACTAAAGGAATAAACTGGTGGGAAGTGGGTGATTCAAGTTCAACAATAATAGGCTGACTGTGTCTCACTGTATTGAAAATGTGGCTAAAAGGGGCTCTATACAGTCCATAAGTTACATTTCTTCAGCATTGCCTTCCAACTCAGCTCCTTCTTCACCAACAGTTAGATGTGTTATAATATAAGTATAAGTAGGGTTGTCCCAATAACCAAGATGCAGAAAAATTGCAATTTCAACTTTGGTAGATAGCAATTATCGCAATTACTGACACCTGAAATAATATGGAGTGACCCCGATACTGTGGTAGCAGCAGCAGAACTCATTTGTTTAGGAGAACAACTGCACTGCATGTGTCTGAAAGAGTGAACATAAAAAAGTGTGAAAATAAAAAAGTCAAAAATCACTGGTATTTGTCGTACCATTTGTCTTGTTTTTAGTTGTAGAAGAAAAAAATCGAGATCAGTCAATATGAGGCAAACACTATTGTTTTATCGTTGAAATACTTCAACAATATATATATATATATATATATATATATATATTTTTTTTTTTTTTTTAAAATGATAGTAAAAGAAAAAAATCTAATATGTGAACTAATTCCAGAACTTGTGCAACAGATATGTTTCTTCCAAGTGCAAACACTGGTTCAATATTGCCAACCAATCATTATTCTACAATAAAAACTGAAAACTGAAAATAATGTTGTTAAGATGATCATTGAGATTTTTTTTTTACAATAAATAAAATAAAAACTACTATGGTTCAAGCTGGGACACATTCTTTCAAACCACAACCATTTCAGCTATTTAATAAAATCTGTCAAACTAGTTCCTCGCACTCAAAACAGGTCTGTCATTAGTAAAGCACTGCAGCTATAGATTATTTTAGAAATTGAGTATTTGATTAGTCAAGTGAGTATGTATTAAAATCTTTACATATTTAACTGCATACTACATACATGGTTTAGGAAATAAATCTCAATTAAAAAAATCTTGAATAATAAAGGCAGAAACACAACAGGTTCCGGAATCAGTTCTGTGCACTCCAAGACAGAGGAATTCTAATTGTATTAATTCAATTTAACAGTTCTAACTGAGTCACTTGTTTCCACATGAATGGATTTTTATCACATATTTCAGCTTTCTTAGACAGAAAGAAGACAAGAAAAGAGAAGACCACTCACTCTGTCAAACAGTTCTAGTGTCAGGCATCTTACGCAAAAGATAAAAATGTTTGTAATACAATTATTATTTTTTTGTGTTCTGGCCTATTCACAACATGTTACTTTTGCAAGAGTTATTTAAAAGTCTGCTGTGTTTCCTGGAATACTTGAAAACATGGCAGGGGATTATATGAATGTGGCATAGTTGTGTGCAGTAGTGTCCGCTAGGGGGCGCACACTGACACACAATGGACAGTCGCTTCAGCCACAGTCACATAAAGGCGTCTTTATCTGTTCAAATCATGGTTCAAATGGTCAGTTAGAGACATGAACGTGACCGTAGAGACGTGAGAAAGGACGTCTGCCTGATTTAAACACACAAAACAAGAAATCGGTGCTTGGCGTGGCTTTGTTTAGAGGATATTGTAAGTATTGGACAAGACTTAAACATTTTGCTTGACTAACCAGTGCTTAATAAAAAGTCATAGAGAGTCCTAGAGGTGAAGAGACAATTAAATTAAACATTGTTGCGTGGCTATTTCAGGGCATTTCAATTGGAGTGACAGAGATTATGCAGACTAGCTTGAATTTGCTAACGCCCTGTCCTTTTTGTCCTTATAAATGTGCAAATACTGTTGGTTATAAGTCTAAAAAAAAATGCGTGTAAATTAAGATCATACACTCACACCGCGGCGCTTGTTTTCCTCCGGATTGTTTCCTGTATGCGTCACGTGAAAACATTGACAAGGTGAATTATGGGAAATGTAGTTTGAATGGATTTTACTTACCAGGACACAGCGGTCGGTCAATAACAGCCTGGAGGAGCAAACTACTGCACCTGCCACAGTTTATACTCAGTTAAAACAGCAATACCAGCTCATGATATACCAGTGAGCTGCTACTTTTGTTCTTCATTTTTTATAATCATTAATTGTATGTTTTTCCAGGTAGAATGGGTTCCAGAGTTGACTATAGTGATTATAAAGTTCTTGATCAGGACCGCTCCAAGTATACAGTGACCTACTCAAACATAGACAGAGTAAGTGTTTATTTCATTTTGAACTTTTAACATTTTTATATTGTTTGGCACAGGTTGTAATGTAATAATTGTACATTTTATTGCAGATGGATTTTTCTAGACACGAAGACTCTACAAAAAAAAGGTGGGTAATGGATGGGCCCGGTATTTATTTAGCTTATTAATTTTAGTTTTTATTTAATGTATCGATGTAAATGTATTCATTCTATTTTTTTAGTATTTAATTGTTTTTTTATATATATATTTTGTATGTTGTATGTCTATTTATTATATTTGTATTTATTGTTGAATATTATCGCATCTTTTTATTTAATTGTATTTTTTTGTGGATTTGTCTTACTCACTACCATTCCACCCCAGGGCTGCAGTGAGCCGCCCTGGCCCCAACCCAGGCAGAGTGAAGCGGGTGGTGTCTTGTAAGAGGAAGACCCATCATCTCACTGCGGTTCGGAAGAAAGCTCCAGGACCAGGCAGGCCTCATGTCGTAGCTAACAAGGAGAACGAACTGAACATGACGGACGTGGAGCACAGGATATTTTGCATGGAACCCTGGGATTTGTCACAGGATAAACACAGAACTGGAAGAACTGGTCCTGAGCCGCCTGATTACACTTTGCTCTCGGAGGTTGGAAACTTTCAACACTTTGCATGCAGTGTCGTAAAGAAAGATTGCTTATGTTTAACTGTACATTTTATTATTCTGCTGGGTCATTATTATATGAGGAAATACCAGTTTAATCGTGGTATATTGGTGAAATGTTTAATATGTTTACAATGTGTACTGCATCTAGATTTATTCACAAAAGTGAGGAATAATGCAGCTAAAAGCAACATTTTACTTAAAGCAGCTTCATCATAAACTCTGGAGGGTCTGCAGATCATTAAAGCTTGGGAACCTAAGTTTCAACTATGTAATACAATCCATTTAAGTTGTTCCTAGGTCTCAAAACATGTTGGTTCTGATCAGGTTTTTCAGAAAGAAAAGTGAAAAGGAAAGACACGCTCTTACTCTTTGCTAATCATCTCAAATCAGACTCAAATAATCACACTTTCTTTTTGTTTTGCAAATAATAACCTTTTTTTGTTTAGATGAAGGTAGCAGGTTGTTTTACATTTCCCTTTTATAAGACTTGTTCTGTAAAGACAAAGAAAAATGTTTTATTTATGAAACAAACACGTCTGGTATCCCAGTTTTAATTGTAAAATAAAAGACGTCATCTCTAAACTTAAAGCTGGAGTACCTAACTTTACAACCCCAAAAGTGAACTATGTGATACAATTCTAGTTCCCAGTTATTTGGTTCTATCACTAGTTTTCACAAGCATTCTACTAAATAAAGACATCATCTCAAACCTCAACGTAAACAATATTGTCTGTTGCAAACTGTACAAACAAAATTATCTGTGCACATAAAACCCGGTACACCGGCTTTATTATTGACATGTGTCTCATTACTGCTCATCCTACAGTGGGGAAATTTCAGTGATGCATCACCGGTTACAGAGCAGTAGGAATGAGGACCACACAGCACAAGATAAAGGAACAATAACTCCTTACTAAAATAACATAAGTCTCTAACTTTAGCACAATAAAGAAGCAAGTATAAAATCTCTCTCTCTCTTCATGTATATACTGTATATATATTAAGTCTATCATAGCATTTCTTTACATGTATTTTGTGATGCCATTTTTAGTCCATATCACCTTTTGCTAATGTATTATATGTATGTTTATAGATCTCCAGAGATCACAGCTGCATGACAAATATCCTATTTTCAAGAAACTTACGACTCAAAGTGGCGTTCACACTGTGGAAGAGAAACGTGGGAGAGCTGCTCACATTTTTCCTGAAGTAAACATTGTGTATAAACCGCTTGAATCTAAAGTTGTCATTATATGTGTTGTGTTCTTCCCACAGAATACAAGACGTGGGCGTGTTTGTTGACTTTCTCCCAGTGATAACCAAAAGGTGCTCAATGCCACTTACACATTTACAGAGAGGCTTTACTTTGGATAACCACATCATCATTCTACTTGCAGTATAACTGAGGACCCTCCGACCGTTTCTATTGGCTGCTGCGTCGACCTATTTCCATTGGTTAAGAAAGTCCTTGCTAACCCCTTTGAAGAGTCAGTATATGATCGTTATTGTTATAATCATTATTAATATCACACAATGATATGAGCCAGGCATGTCAAACTCCGGCCATTTTAGGGATTTATTATTAGTACATCACATTTATTTATATCCAATGTTGATTCAATTCAAACAATAACTTATTTTGTTCTGAAAAAAATCAATCAGAAAAGAAACTCATGTCAAGTAAAAGTAATTGGTTAAAATAATAATGCAAACAGATATTACAATGGTCCCTCGCTATATTAATATTTTGGTGTGGACAATTTAGCTTTTTTTGAGAAAATTCCACCACGATCATACTGTGTGCGATATCAAAAAACCGCCAGTATAAATTAAAAGGACTGCCGTGGTCTTCCCGTAGCCTTCAGTCCTGCCCCTGTATTTCACAGTGTTTGCCCGACTTTTGACAGCTGTAGCAGCGCTCAGACCTACACTGACAGCACTTCAGCATTTGTGAGATCATGTGGTTAGAAAAGTGTATTAAGTGTGTGGTTTTACAGCCTTAAAATATACAGCTGTAACCCCCAAAAACAAGGGACCGCTGTATAGTAAGAGAAAACCATTTAAATTTAGTTTGACACCCCTGCCATAACCATTTTACAAAGAAATAAACAGTTACGGCTATCATCGATATAATTTTGATCTTGATAGGTACATCATAGTTGGTTTGAAGTGGATACATTCAGTTCTGAAAAACTGGTGGGAGGAGCTAAGAGAAGGTGGACTTGGTGGATGCAGCAAAAGGCCCCTGGATAAGTAAGTCATTGTAAAGTTATTCTTCCTCTCACTCCTGTTTGAATTTAATTATGTGCAGTATTTTTGAATATGGATGTACATGTACGTATGTAAGATTGTATGTAACTACTAAAGACGATGCAAAAAGATAGACAAATACTTTATTGATAGAAGAAAGACAGGTGTTCAGCAGCAGAAACACATCAATTTCTGAGCAAAATCCATTAATCAATTGATGACTATGCACTGAATATACAAATCATCGCATTCATAAAACATTTGTGTTACGGCAGGAACTTTGGGATCTTTAACCAGCAGCTGCTAGAACTGTGGCATCAGGAACCGCTACTGAAATCTGTGCCAGGATCAGCTGGAGCCATGGCAACGGTTTGTACAGTACGGACTAAAACATGTTTAAATTGAAAACAGTCACGCGTGCATAACATGTTTTTGTTTTTGTTTTTTACCACAGGCCATTGATTCATACATTTCACAGTTACCGTGGTAACGACTGATCAGCTGTATTAAAATGCATGTACTGTATGTAAATATCTGTTTATATTATTGCAGATAATGCGCAATTTCAAATAAACCTTTGTTTTCCTAAAGGTTCTAGAGTTATTGTAACACAATATTTAAAAAGTAAAATCCTTAAAAAAGTATTGAAGTAATTAGGTAATAAAAATACCTAAAGGAATATAAGAGGATTTTCCCAAAATTTAGGAGAGAATCGCTCTCTGCGGTTTTTTTTAAACAAAATGCATCAGCAGAATGACTGACCAGTGGGTGGACCAATAGTCTTGGTGATCCACCCGGAAGTAGAATATCCTCCTGTATACCTTTTAAGTAAAAGTACATGAGTAAAATTATTTTAACTCAATAATGACAACATATGAAACAAAATACCAGGGGAAAATCCATTTGACCAGCAGGTATGTAACCTAATAATTGATTGTCCCACTTTTGCAAACTCATAAGACCCCTGTGAGTCACAAAATCACTTTTGTATTTCTGAAAGAGCAAATATAAAGATCTGACAGAGGCCATGCACATGATAGAAGATAACTGTTTTGAGAGCGTGGGATATTTATGAATAGTTACATTTTTATAGTTTGAAAGTTAGGTTGTACTTAAAAATTTAATTTTAAGTTGTTACTTAAAATAAGTAATAAGTAGTTACTTCATATTTGGCTCTACTAACTACCTCAGCGGAAGACTGAGACACCCTCAGTGCAAGAAGGAGCGCTACCGCAGGTCTTTTATTCCCACCGCTGTCAGACTGTACAATAAGTCACTTTAAGTCTCTCATGCACTAGGACTGAAAAAAGCAGCACTGCTATTGCCAATCTTTTTTTAATTGTACATAATTATATCCTGCACAGACTATATTTTCAACCATTAACATGTTTGCACACTTTTTTTTTTGCAAAATCTGAGTGATTCAATCTGTACCAAATGTGACATGTACATTTCTCCAGTGTGAGATCAATAAAGTCTACAGTATCTTATCTTATCTTATACTGCACGGGGCATGTCTAGGGTTGTAACTCAACAGCTATTTATGTTTGATTTTGCAATAAACTAAAATAAAAATACAAAGATAAAAAAAATCAAACATATGCCATTCAAATAATAATAGTGTATGTAGATAGGCACTTTCAAATACCTCCTTGAAAGTGTGTCAGATTGGATTCACGTTAAAGCGCTCCTGGACTTCAGCCTCATTCACTGCTTGTGTGATTGGAGTGAGTGGGAGATACGGCTTTTCCACCGCTATCGCTACAACTACCTGATTTATCAGAGGAAAGCTCAGATAAGCAGCTGATTGTTCCCGTCTGTGTTTTGAACCTGCGTCTGAAGTCCAGCTGTGACGAAGCTCCACACAAACTATCACTCACTTTGTCCCAGTCCTTCTCAAACAGTGGGGACAAGGCTTTCTCGTTCTGCCTGATTTCTGATACATGTGGCCCCATACGAGGTAAATGTACTTTGTTCTGCCTTCACAACACAATATGACATTACTATAAATTGCTTTTGTTGTGGTCCAGAGTGAAAAGATGAAGACGTATCTGTGGTCGGTGGTTGTTCTCCTGCAGTTTATGCTTGATGTAAACGGAGTAGTGGACGTGGAGCATCTCAAAGCACAGAACCTGAGAATGCTTCCTACGGATCAACACAATCAAATCTTGAACCAGGGCATGAAAGGTATTTCAAATAGTAAACATAAAAGTAAATACATTTTGCTGCTGTGGATATGGTATTGTATTATTCTACAAATCCGGAGTTTTTTTTTTTCTGAGATTTTTAATGGTTGTGGGACATTAGAATATTTTGTGTTGTAAAAAATAATGATGCACGTTGGTGGTTAAAGGATAAAAGTAGCATTGCAAGAATATGATTTGGATATCCATGGATTAAGTAATTATATGAAAAGCAATCTGGGCAAAAAAAATCACATGTGAAAATCACATCACATATGAGAGAAACAAGGTGAAACTGGGAAAAGTAGAATATTGTTCCAAAGTGAATTTATTTCTGTCATTCAACTAAAAATGTGATCTGTGATGTAGAGACTCGTTACTTGCACAGTGACAAATGCCATGCCTTTGTTATCATTTTGATGGTTATGGCTGACACCATAACCTTTCAAAATATTGTGGCAATTTTCTGAGATGTTTTCATTTGGGTGTTTTTTACAACAACATTATAACAAAAAAAGGCCTGATGCATCTCACGTTGTGTGTATTGAGTCATATACATTATTAATGTTGAATTACAGAAGTAAATGGACTTTTGCACTTTATGACTATACTTAACCTATAAAGGCATGTCAATGGCAGTGTTATAGGAGGCAATATAGATTGACACAAAGTTTGATGTGCCAAACAGGACAAATTATTCTGATTATCATTATTACTATTTTGCCATATTCTAGCATATGTATTGTTTGAAATGTTCAGTCACAATGATAATCTACCAATCTCTTGGGCTTTAACTGAGGAACTATATCTTATTCATTCTATAGGTGGCTGAGTGGGTGGCACTCACAGCAAGAAGGTTGTGGTTTTGAACGTTGTCTGTGTGGGGTTTGGATGTTCTCCCCGTGTCTAGATGGGTTTCCTCCGGACGCTCGAGTTTCTCTGACCTCACATGGAACAATATAAAATGCTCAAGCTCTAGTCTTGACCAAGCCGAGCACCGACTACTGGAGAGGGGTCCCTGGGCACTGGCACTGTGGCTGCCGACCACTGCTGCTGATTGGATGGGTCAAATGCGGAAAATAAATTTTATACCTTACCCATAAACTCAGAGTTATTGTAGTTGTAAGAGTAATTGCTGGGGGCAGGTCATCTTGATACATAACAACGATTGTAAGCCAGGATCTAATCTTTAGGTAGTAAATAAACAATTGTAATCGCTTGGCTCTGTGTCAAGGCTATATAATATGTAACTGGAGTGTTTACTAACATTGATAATGCCACTTAATTGCAAGGTAAACTAGCCCTCTATGACTTCTTTGACTCTGTGGGACAAATAAAGAATCTCTTAATTTAAATCTTTCTTTTTCTCTCCAGCTCTGCCCAGAGACTGCCATGAGATGCTCCTCTCCTCCTCGGGCCAGGCCAGAGATGGAGTGTACCTCATCCAGCCGGGGGACGTTCCCATCTTGGTTTTTTGCGCCATGCAGGAAGGCGGATGGACCGTGGTGCAGCACATCACCATGAACAGCAGCGTGAATTTCGACCGCACTTGGTCTGAGTACAAGCTAGGATTTGGGGCTGTCACAGGGGATCACTGGCTGGGCAATGAGTACCTCCACCAGCTGACACGTGGCCCTGGACGCTACAAACTCGGAGTAAAGCTGGTGGACAAAGACGCGGTGACGAAAACAGGAGAATATGATCCAGTTTTGGTAGAAGATGATGCGTCAGGTTTTCGACTGAGGCTGGGTTTGTTTCAGGGGACAGCTGTGGACGCTCTAACCCTGGACACAGAGAATTATCTTCATGACAACCAGAAATTTACCACAAAAGACAAGGACAATGACAACTACTTCCAGAACTGTGCCAAGCTGGAGTTCCAGGGTGTAGCGGGGGGCGGCTGGTGGTATGACGCCTGTGCAGGAGCGAACCTCAACCGTAGAAATGTGATCTACTGGCAGAAGGATTGCAACAAGGAGCATCTGTGCAAGTATGCGTGGATGATGGTGAAGCCCTCAGACAGCTTCAAACTGGTGCAGGGCGCGGACTGCAGGAAAGATGAGCTCTGAGGACTTAATACGTGTAATACATGAGTGTCCATTTCTCAAAGTACCATTAGGATCCACTGTGGAGGGGCACCATCTTGTGTCAGGCTGTCATGTTAAACCATAGACTTTAGATGAACAGTATGCTAATTGGTTAGCCAATGAATGCTCATGGTTTTTTTCTCCAACTAGCTCTGGCCCCTTGTAAACTCCTCTAGTTCAGTGCCTGTGGTGTCACATTAACCATTTTGGATCTCATGTATGGGCTTTGTAACAAAACGTTTACACTTGTTTGAACGTTTTCATATATATTTTTTTTTGGTTATAGTTGTTAACTTTATTTTGCCATGCAGTCTTTCAACACCTCTATGGAGCACCCTTATCCACATGTTGATTGGTCCTGTTCTAGTCCTGGATCAGTTCCAGTTGAATTTGAATGTTATACAAGTCTGAATGTCTCCTCCATACTTGTGGCTGAAGTGCACGTGCCTAACTTTTGATCAATGCAATTTTTACTTTTGTTAAATATTGAACTTTGAAAATAAAATTGTAACTCAAAAAATACAAGATTGCATCCTGCGACTTAATGAGCCACATTTTATTCAGAAAAAGCTCTGGCATGGTCACAGAATATGAAACACTTTTTTATAAAACAATGTTCTATAGATTTTACAGCAAAGGTCAATGCACGGAGAGCAAAACATATTTCATTCTCACAAGTACCACGTTTGTCTTCAACACGTACAACAGCATTTGCCAACAATGAGAGCGGGACAGTCTGCAGACAGATGCAGAATTATGAGAGCAAGCAAGTTACAAAATGTCCCAGAAATGCAAAATGGTCAGCAACACGAAATGCGGGAAAGGCAATATCCTCCTGAGGATGGAGAGCAGAATACAGTACAGTATGATGAAGTGGTTTCGATGCAGGAAATAGTATCGACTCCATTTTAACACTGGAAAGAGATGAGGTGGCAGGAAATGAGCAATTCTGAAAGAAAATGTTATTTGATTAATGAATCATGATACATTGGCACATACAGTATATCAAGGCTTTGATTTTCAAGTTACAATCTGGACTTATACAAGCAGGCCCCGACAGCACAGTACAACACACAGTAGCCCTTTACCACAAAAGCTCCTCATAACACAGAACTACACATTAGCCGCATATGATGGTCACCCACTGGAAAAGGTCACGATTCACATATTGCAGATGTCACTTGTCGTTGGCTTTATTTGTGCATTTTTATATCATCATACACTTTGTCTATAATAGTGGTTCTGACCTGGCAGAATAGGTTCAACAAATGATAAGATTATTTCAGAATGTGAAATAATATCTTCAGTAGAACGTTCAGTAGGGGAAGCAAGAGAAAAGGGAAAAATGGCCTTCCCCATGCTACCATCGGACGGAAGAATTTGTTGTGTTTTTTTATTTTTATTTAAAAATTACCAGATGCAAACTTAGTCAGAATTACCCCTACTAACTATATAGTGGGAGAGTTACATGTTTGGAGGTCTAAATTAAAACAGGTCTGTTTTGGATGAGGGAACAATGAAGAAGAAAATTCTGTAATATGTCTGTTTGAAAACACATTTCAGATTTGCTTTCTCCCAAAATCAAACTAGATCAGAACCACATTAAATACTGTTCATTTTACTTCAAACCATTGGTACACAGTAAAAACTTTGAGCAACACAATGAGTACACTTTCAATAACAAGCAGTGACCGAGAAACAGCTGGATCACGTGAGTTTGGAGCTAACCACTGGGTTCTGTCCATACCAGTAGAGCTTCTCCTCCACCCTCTTCTTCTTCCACTGGCAGAGCAAGAGCATGCGGAAAGTCTTTTGAAACGTTTTGTTACAGAGAGCGTAACACATGGGGTTGACGGTGCTGTTGACGTAGCACAGCCAGTAACCCAAATGCCACAAGGACACAGGGATGCAGTCTGAACAGAAGGTAGAAATAAGCACCATGATATTGTACGGCGTCCATGTTAGAATGAACGCCAACAAGATAGCGCTGAGAGTCTGAGCGGCCTTCTTCTCCTTGATCAGCACCATCCGTTTCCTCTTTGTGATCTGGTTCTTTAGCGTCGCATCTATCGGTTTCGATACAGAAGACGTCGAAGGAACGCTTACTGATTCTGCAGAACTGAAATTCAACTGTGTTTTGGAATCGCCGTTCTTGCTCTCCGCTCGACTGTTGTCTTTGGCGACCGGCTTGAACTTGTACGACACGCATTTCCCGCTCTTTTGAGAGTGTTTTTTTGACGGCTTTTGGAAGTAACCGTCTTCGTGATAGTTGCTCAGTTGCTCATTCTCGACCTCCCCAGCGGCCTTGCCCGTCTCGCATGCCTGGTTCCTAAATGTTGACTGGAATCCCTTGGGCGACGCTGGCCTATCTTCCTCCTCTGAGGATGCATAACTATTAAAGGAGGCATGGGGGCCGGCTTTGGACCACTCATCGTTAGTGGTAGGCGTTGATTTCACAGGGTGACTCCTGCTTGATGAAGACCACGAGGCTTGATTCCTATCAGTCGAAGTTGATCTTAATTTACAGCTGAAACAACCCCTGATTATTGTCTTCTGGGGCTGGCTCACGGTATGATCGGTTGGGTAAGAAATCCCTTGAAGCTCTGCCAAGTCTTTGGTTCTTTTCTCTGTTTCTTTGTAGATCCGACAATAGAGAATGGTCATGACTGACACAGGAATGTAAAAAGCTGCAATGGCTGTTCCAAATGTGATAACAGGTTCTGAGAAGAACTGAATCTGGCATTGCCTTTCAGGTACAGTCCTCTTTCCGACAAAATACTGCCAGCAGAGAATGGGTGGTGCCCATAGGATCAGCGAGACCAGCCAGGCCAAACCTATCATGATCCCAGCCCTTTTGGGAGTCCTTTTGGCTCGGTACGTCAACGGTCTCGTTATGGAAAAGTATCTATCAAAACTGATCACAAGGAGATTCATGACAGAAGCATTACTGGCCACATAATCCAATGCCAGCCATAAATCGCAAGCAATGTTCCCCAGTGCCCAGTATCCCATCAGAATATACGACGTATACAAGTTCATGGAGAAAACCCCAATGATGAGATCCGCAGCTGCTAAACTCAACAAGTAGTAATTGTTGACGGTTTTGAGTTGGCTGTTGACTTTGAAGGACAGCATAACCAGGACATTCCCCACTATAGTGATGAGACTCACTATGGCAGAGACCGTGGCGATGGTGACCACTTCCCACAGACTGTGAGTGACCAGTGGCACGTCCATGGTCCGGTTCACGGTGGCATTCTGAGCTCCATCGCCCTCCATGGTGTCTTTACTTTTGAATCTCACATAAGGAGAGACGCAGTGTTTTCAGCAGATCTGTGAAATAAGAAAATGTGTTAAAGGTATCACACACAGATAAGTTATTGATGAGGTGACAATGCGAGGGGAATCATTTCAAAAACAAGAAAGCATTGCACCCTCAAAAATATAAAGTGTTATTTAATTAATAGATTTTTGTCCATGCAAGGTGAGTTATCTGTGTGTTATTGTTTCAGTACAGCTATGTCCCAACATAGAAAAAGTTGTGTAAAAGTATAAATGTTGTGAATAAATCAGACCAATTCTGTCTTGCTCTTGTTAGAAAACAGTTGCATACATGTAAGAAGGAGTCCCTGTGAATCACAATTTGACAGAGGGCCCAAAGATTGGTCCGATATTTTTCACTTTTCTGAAATCTATCTGCTCTAATGTCAAAATACATGCATGTGAAATTTATGGATATAGTTTATTACATAGTTGTCTTTTCCGTGAATTTAAAGTTAGCTTTAAGACCTGCAGCACACGTTTAGAACCAGCAGAGGGCGACATTTCTTCATCAAACTTCATACACAATTGAGAGGTTTCGCTTATTGCTGCATTAAATTGAAGACAATAACTCACATCGTTATGCACTGCTGCAGAAAAGCCTAGATAAAATTTCCATGATCAAAAAACATGATTATGAAAATGTACATCTGTTGGAGTCATGGAGTTGAGTTATATAAACTAGAAAAACAAAACAACACTCTTTCCTTGCAAGAGCCGGAACTCATTTGTATTTTCTACGCTCCAAAAATTATAATTGAGCTATTCTCTTTGAGTTGTTTGCACAATTAGATTAAGCACAAGTGAATTTCTCCCATATGGAGGGTTCGGACTGAATCCTCAAACATCTGTGGCAAACTGCAAGATGAAAATCGTTATTTCCATTCCTTTGTTTCAATGCAACTTAGAATTCAGGTCTGTGTTTTGGGAATTGGACAGATTTTGTTTTCTTTGTAACTGCACAAAACACAGCTAGTGAGATAGTTAAAATTCATCTCAAAACAATTTGGTTCGATCCCTAATTTTCACCAGCATGTATAATGCCTCTGTCGTCTTTGGCCTTTTCAGACAGAAACAAAATAAAAGTGAGGATCATTCTTGCTCAGCTTAATGTAAAGTCAAATAGTGACACTCAATATAACACACTTTCTAATGAGATAAGGACAGTATATTATGGTCTATTCTGACAAAAAAAGAATATATAAAGGCAAGGCAATTTGTATTCCACAATTCATGCACAAGGCCACTCAAGAAGCTGAACATAACAAGATAGAAGCAATCACACAAGGCATTCAAATCGTAATAAATAAACTATAACCATATAAAATGTATGCACAGCTAAACAGAACTATTTGAACCTGGACTCAAACATTGTCAGAGAAGAGGTCTGTCTCACATTTTCAATAAGACTGTTCCGATTTTAGCTACATGAACATATACAGTTTATTTGGAGCCGTTTTGAAGTAATGAGACAAAAACATATCTTAAAATACAGCCGCACAAACAGCAGTGTTCACAGAAAGGTCAAATTTATGCTGTGTCTCACCCAAACGCATATGTTTTCTACTAAATAATACGAAGTAGAAAGTTTTAAGAGCATCTGTGCCCCACTTTGAGTTTGTCAGACCAATATCATTTCAGCTCAGTGATTCCTTTGCTGTGAATAAGTCATTTCACCAGCCATTCCCCGGGGATACATCAAAGCAACTACTACTACTGCTGAAGAACAAAATGGAATTTAGATGTGAACAAAGGCTGAAAATTGTTGTAAATGATGTGTTGTCAGTGGCCTTTCCAGCATAAATAAGAACATAAATAAAATAAGAACATTTTCACTGCAAAAAATGATTAAATATGAGGTAATAATTGCTTGAATCAAGTGTTTTTTATCTTCATTTGAGAACATTTTGACAAGATTATCCAGTAGGACAAGCCATTTAGCTTTATTTTATTTTACCTGGTGGCAGTCAAAATGTACAAAGATACATTTGGCCAAATTTGAGCATTTTTTGTAGTGGTTAAATCCAGGGATTGTTTCAAAAGCAATTTCAGATTTCATGCACTCGGATGGAAGAGAAATTGTGACTAGGCTGTGTGACAAAAAGCCCTCTCAAAGCGACACTGCACAGCCTGAACGTATCTATTCTGTTACAATCCAGTGCTACTTTTACAATCACACAGATTTGTCCTTGACTGTAAAAGAAATCAGCTTTTATTCAGGATCCAGCTCACTACTTTTTCCACACCACGAGTTTAGATAACAAGTTTTGTGTGCGCGCTTCACTGTTCCCCAAAGAGAACGTGTCTCTGTGCAAATACTTCAGTGACAGTGGGATTGTAGTCGGCCTCCGCTCCCATGAACGGCTTTGGACCTTTCCGGACACGACTCATGGAACGCAGCCATGTGACCGTCGCCTTTGTACCTTTCGATCCTGCAGGTGTACAGTATGTACTAACTTTACGATTTATTGGTTCAGAAAATCCTATCATGCTACCATTGTTGGTATAAGAGAAACTGTATAATAAGTCATCTTTGGATGTTATTATGTATAATGTATAAGTCTTGACTTCAGCCTAAACCCCTTTCAGTCATCAGTTAGTACTTCCATTCTTAGACGGCTCGTGTCTAACAAGAAGGACTGTGGTGATGGATCCAGGACACTCTACATTTTAGGGACATTTATCAACACTGATGGACATTGTTCAACTCCCTATGGACCAATACCTACAGTATGCGATCTATATTCTTTGTGTTTTAACTGTTGATTCTCTGATCTGTGTTGACAGTTTCAACGGTTTTGTTAAGTCCTCTGAGATGACTACTGTTGTGATTTAGGGTTATAAAAGAATAAATTGAATGAAAGAATGAATCATAATCCGTTGAATACACATCAACGATACTTTTTTGCACATCTGTTGCAAGGAAATTGTTGTCAATTACAAGGCATTACTGTCACATAGAAATCTTATTCCTCCCTTTTGCATCTCTTTTGAAAGATTTTTTTTTTTTTTTTTTTTTTGCTTTTTGGGTGAAATAGGTGGGTATTTGTACTTTGTTTGTTTGCTGTCTGTTCTCAACTGAAAACCAATAAAAAATGGGGCTGTGCAATCTTAAATGCGCTCTCCCAATACAAATGGAACATGGAAGAGAAAGAGATGAGCAAAACTGACAGCGACGGACAACTTGTTCCTAAAAACAGTGCAGTTATAAATGTGTGAGTACTTTGGCTTCAGAAGGAACAATGTGCTACGTTATTATATTTGGGAGAAAGAAAATATTGCAGCATGTAATACCCATGACACAGCTCTCATGCCTTATTGATACTAGCCTGCATAATCTATAAACAGAAATCACTGGAAATGGTTCAGAAAAGACCGAACAATATACACTGAAAAAAACCTTATCCAGTCACACTTATATACTAGTGGGATTGCCGGACAATAAGAGTCTACTTTTTTCAATTTATTTCAACCCTGTGGCCTATATTACAATGCAGCCAATCTAGCCGGAGATGATGGACTTGTTAAAATCACTGTCTGAGATGTTAATAGCTGTAGCTGACACCATGTACAATCTTTAATAAAATAACAAATATATTCAAACAAATCTTAAGCTTGTTTATTCCATAGATTGACAACTTTTAAGAGAAGAGTAAAGACGAATTTGTCCAAACTATTGTTCAAAATTGAGTTCCAGGTACTTGTATGAAACATGCATAAAAACTAAATGAAATGCGTTCTTTTATTGCTAATCCCTCAATAGTTGTTCAGTTCCATTTTAGAAATTAGCTGAAAGACTTTGTGGTAGACATCATTATTTTGTTTTTATGTCTTGATAATGATCCAGTCTTGTAACTTTATACATTAAAAAACAAAAAACCATCTCACTTGTTCCTTGCTATCACCAGGACCACCAGCTCTCAGCCTAAAAGGTCAAAGTATGCAAAAGAGAATGACAAAAGAGGACTATTCTTTTTCTGTTTGCATAAAACATACACATACGTACAGTATTAGGCAAGGCAAGTTTATTTGTATAGCACAATTCATACACAACTCAAAGTGCCGAACAAAATAAGATTACAATTAAAAGAGCATAATAATCACAGTACATTAAAATGAAAGAAAAATATAAAATCCCTCAGTTGTATGCACAGCTCAACAGAACTGTCTTTAACCTGGTTTTAAACATTGTCAGAGAGGAGGCCTGTCTCACATCTTCAGGAAGATTGTTCCAGATTTTAGCAGCATGAATCTGAAAAGCAGCCTCCCCATGTTTAGTCCTGACTCTGGGCACTAACAGGAGTCCAGTCCCTGTGCTCCTCAGAGTCCGGGCCGGTTCATATGGGACTAACATGTCACTAATGTACTTTGGTGCGAGGCCAAATTACATTTTCTTAATAAGGGGGAAAGTATGGTACCCCAGCTTTCACTTGCAGATCATAATCATCATTTTTGTTTTGCCAGTGAATCAAACACTATCAGACTTAGAGTAGATTGTGAAAGCATCAGTGGCATCATTACTGCAGACGCTGAGAACATTCCAGGCTCAGCAGGAGGCCCCACTGCTACACCTGGCTCTTTCAATTACTTTTACGGCTTACATCTCATCTGGCATATTCACATGATCATAAAAAATAAGGTTAATTTAATGTGTGATTTATTCAAGACCGACAAGCTTTCTCTTGGCTTTCAACCACAATTTAGTCCCGTCCTTGTGTGCGACTATAAAATGCCAAAAGGAAAATGATCTCTGTTGAGAGCGATGACTGTTGAACACGACTAGATTGGACTTTTGCATTCTGACCTTTTCTACAGCCCAAAATTTTTCAACTGAAGTTTGAGTTTTACATGAACGCAAACACACACACACACATGCACACACACGCACACACACACATACACGCTCGCACATGCACAGAAGGTCAAACAGACACAGGTTGGGTTGGTAAACATGAACAGCTCTGGCGGATCAGCTGTGACTTGTTCTGAGGACACGACGCAGACGGAGATGTGGTCGAGGCAAAACTAAAATGGATTTGGAGAAACTGCTGTTTGAGAAGAGCAAACATCTAGGACCTGAAGTAAACACAAACATATGCATTGTCTTTATTATACGCCAAGTTTAGAGGAAAGAGAACAGTGTCACTTTTTGATTGCTTTTTTATTCATTTATTCAAGCATAGGAGTGTATTTTGTTTCTACACCAGCATGTGAAAGCCCAATCCCATCAGATCTTTGAAGCTAAGCTGGGCTGGACTTGGACAGTACTGTGATGGGAGACCTTTAACAAAACCAGGGCTGTAAACTGCTGTTGTTTCATTAGGCAAGACACTTAGTATGCGTCTGTTGTGTGCCTGAGTGATTGGTGGTGGTCAGAACAGCTGATGGCACAGATTAGTAGCTTCACTTCTCTCAGTCTGCCCCATGGCAACTGTGGCTACAGCAGTCTACCAGTAAAGTGTATTGAGTAAATGAATAATGTCTGAAAGTCCTTGTGCATTATTGTTACATGCCCACGTCATTACCACCCACGTGTGTGTCTATAATTGGTATAATAAAGTCGAACATGTTTGAGAAACGCTGATAATAACAATGGCTGCACTAAAGATTGCCTCTGATGAATCATTTACTTTAAAGGTATGTACGCAGGAGGATGTTTCCAAATATTAGGAAAAAACTTCTGCTCCACTTTTTGAACAAAACTCTCTGGTGTTATTTGACGAGCACATATCACCAGAATGATTGACAAAGAGGAGGACCAATGGTCTCTATGATCCACCAGGAAGTAGAAAATGTGTCTTTTCTCTGAGTTTTACTCAGAGAAATGACACATTTTAAATCCCACCTGGAATGTATTTAATTATGAGGTAGAGTAGAACTGTCACCAAATCTCCTTTCATTGCTGTGGAAAATTTCACAAAAAGTACAAATGAAAATGCAAAACACTATGAACAAAAGCCTTCACAAAATGAAGTCGCCATGACCTGGTGTGTCTGCGTTTGTCCACACTGTGAAGGCTATTACAAATCCAGTACAATCAACATTATGAATTCAGTTCAAACTGGTCCTAATTCTTCTTAGAATGGTTAATTTACAACACAATTAAAAACGATTTTTTAATTTTTTGATAATTCATTATATTAATAGGTTAGTGGCATGAAATTAAAAAAAAATATTGAAAAAAACAAAGCTAAACAGGTGCAATTTGAGACGAGCTAAAATATAATTGCTGTTGATCACATCTACACTTGTGCTACATCTCAGTCATAAAACCAGCATGGTTTACAGGTCTACAACTACAGGTCACCCATCCCTATTTCAATAATCAATTAGTTTATGTTAATTGTTAATTCAGTGAAAATAAGTGGGGAACACTTTTAATTGAATGAGCTTAATGGCTTACTGGTTATGTTTTATAATTTTCTAACCAAAAATATTTATGGAGTCAAGTGTAGAGAACAATGGATGTGCCCTATCAGTACGAGGGGTTAACAGAAACAGGCTGCCTGCTCCTGATAAGCACGGAGATGGATCAATTTAATGCCACGCCATAACATCACCATGGAGACAGCAGATGCCAACGCTTTGCAGAGTAAAGTTAAACAGGCCACCTTTAATAGAGAATTGAGCTGTCACGATGTCACCACCGTCGCAGATCCAGTGGCCCGTATCATCATGTTAACATAATGCATAAGTAATGGCCATTGATCCAGTAATTAAGTTCATAGAGTGGTTTGAGAGTGGAAGTTTGGGAGTGCAGCAGAGGACAGTGCAACTCCTCTGGCATGTGGCCACGGTCTCCCCTGGCTCGCAGACACGCCTAACCTTTCCGCTCATTTTTACCCCACGCAGCAGAAAAGCAAGAGCAAAACCCTGTGCGTGTTTGTGAGAAAGAAACATAGAGGATCAGACCGGAGCCGACAGAGGCAAAGGCCATTTTCCCAAGACTGTGATGTGCAAATGATAGTAGAAAGAGAGAGAGAGAGAGAAAAAGTGCTTAACCGCTGACCCATGTTTAAGCTCGAGAGCATGTGGCATTTGGGTCATAAAAGATGCTGCAAATATCATTTAAATTAGTCATAGGCGGAGACAGGAGGAGTCACCAAATGTGTGCATGAGAAGGGGATTTGCCTCGTCAACTTGAACTATTCAGCAGGGCGCTAATGTCGCTGGTCTAAGGCAAATTTGTCCTCTGATAAAAAATGTTCATTACAGCGAGTTTATGTGCCAATGCCAATGCAGTCTGACCAGCTGTTACTGAAAACATGAGGCCTCTATAAAGTCTATTTTGTAGCTTAATTCTTTTTTTAACATAACGTATAGTGTGGTTGTAAATTCAATAGGGAGTGCCAAAATCGTGTGCATGTCAACTTGGACAGAAAGACAGCACAATTTTTTTAATTTTTGTATTGTATTTGGCTTTTGCGCAGACAAACATCTTCACTTGCTGATGCTGGAGGGTCTATGGACAGTGGTGATCCAGGACATTTAAGTAAGTAAGTAATGTTTATATATACCGCCTTTCACAGACTAGGGTCACAAAGCGGTTTACATTTAATATTATTTTGGGCAATTGTCCTCTCACTCCAGACAGAGATGGAAGCGTGGTTGCCGAACAGGAGGCGCATGCCAGCTCTATTGTACATATTTTTAGTGGTAGGGGAAACCGGAGTACCCGGAGGAAACCTACGAAGACATGGGGAGAACATGCAAACTCCACTCAGAAAGGCCCTGGTCCGACCGGGATTCGAACTCAGGAACTTCTTGCTGAGAGGCGAGAGTGCTATCCACTCAGCCACCGTGCCGCCATTTAAGAACCATTATGGACATTGGTTGTTCGTCCCGTGTATATGGACTAACAGTATTTTCTGTGTTTGAACTGTTTAATTTTCTGATCTGGTATTGACCATGTTGTTATGTCTGCTGTATGGTGATTCAAGGCAATACAGAACGACCATTTAAGACTGCACCCGAAACATTTAGGCGCATACAGGACACATGTATTATCTCACACGGTTGCTGCCAACAATTCCAAAAATGGTGTATTGATAAACGCCCATTCTCCTCCCTGTTATTTCATTGGTATGTCATCTTGCAAAGCCTGATGCAATTTCCCAAAGTGCTATTTCCAAATGAGAATATTGCACTTTTCTACATCCAGGACAAATGCCTGCTTAGTGTTAATGAGGTGTTAAATCCTTCTCAAAACAGAAAACATGACAAAACTCCATATGAGCTTGACCTTTCCCCAGGAACTGTTATAATTCTCACAAACAACTCCAAAGGTCTAATTACAAATGGCTTTGGGCAGAATTGGTCCTGTAGTTTGTGAGCACTTTCATTTCCTTTCCATGTAACACCTGGGTAATTCTAGAGGCTCTGGGTGGACTTGTTAAAATCATGCTTCACTGCTTAATCCTCCTGTGTGTTGATATTTCCACTTAATCAAAGGGAGGAGTGAAGAGGTCTGGTCTTTGAGGAAACTATTGATTGGGTTGACGCAGGATAAGAAGGCTTTTTTGGGGGGGGGGGGGGTTTATTTTTAAAACGAAAGTGCACTTAAGTCAATAAAAGGAACTGCAGTACATATAGTTAATCAGCCATCACAAGGCTTTCACTGTCTGTAATGTAAAATAAATGACTTATACAGTGCGCTTCACAGGATGTCTATAAAAAGCATATAACACATTGCCACGACACACCCTCTGTTGCCTTCATTATGGTAAAAGGAGACATTAAAAATACATGGAAAGCGTGCACGCATGATGCCGTTTTAAAACCAGGTCATGTCTCTCTGTCTATACTGTGCATACAATGATCATTTTTATAACTAATGGAATATGGGGAGAGGAGAGGGGGGAAAAAACACATACATAGACTTACACTTTAGTTCTCCAGATGTCACAGCAGCGGCGTGAAGCTTCCATATCCCGCATGGAGCAAAGTTCATGGTTAATCCTTTTGTTTTTGCCTTAGGTCAAAAGGAGCGCAGGGGTTCCAGGCGCGCAGGGTGGTAGTTTGGATCCTGCTGACTTGCGCGCGCCACGGGAAGATGCGAGACGCGCATAAAAGAATTTCAACAGCAGCATCAGCATCAGCAGAAGCAGCAGCAGTAGTGGAGGCTATCTGTCATTCTTCTGATCTCAAAACATTCATCAAGTATCCGCAAGTTGCATCCTCGTTTAGTCCCGGAGTGGAGAAGTTTGGGTCACGTAAGGAGCTGCTCAGAGTCGAGACAAGAATGAATGGGAAGCGGCTTGTGCGCTTGTGCCGCCTCGGACGCACACTCACACACGCACACACGCATATACACACGCAGATGGAGCTGACGTTGGCTTCGGGCTGCATGGGGAGGGAGAGGGAGGAGGAGAAGGAGGAGGAGGCGGAGGAGGAGGGGTGGAGGTGGTGGTGGAAGAGGAGAGATTCCCATAAGGACTGGGTGGTTCATCATGTGTCGGGGCAGTGAGCAAAAGAGTGTGAGGGGAGGAATGAAGGAGGTGAGAGGGTAGGGAGGAGAGGTGTGGATCTCAAACTGAGGTGCGTGGTTGTCTTTGTGGCGCTCGCATGAATAGTCAAGTGTCATGGTTTTGGTGAGGATAGCATTGCATTGGTTTGGCTTTTTAGTCCTGGTTTAACCCTGGTTTAGTCTTGGCTAGTGGTGGTTTAAGTTTGAGGTAATTGCAGTCCATAATTAGTTCATCACATACAGTATACTGTATTGTTTCCACCAGTTTTTTTTCCCCTATAAAATGTGACATTTGTGGATGAATATAAAACATATTACTTACCCCCTCTCACTCTTTGACCAGGCGTGACCACAGATAAACATATACTGTATGTTAACAAAGCTATTTTGTCTGATGAAATACAAGCCGTCACATACAATAGCGTCATGAATATGATTTTTATTTGTTTTTTCTGGATTGAGTACTGCAGGATCTCATCTTTGCTGCTGCAGATGATGTTGTTGTCCTGTTGGCTTAAACCTGGACCTCTTACACTGCACTGGGACAGTTTGCAGACCAGGATGGAGTGGTCTTTCCTTACTGTAGGTGGTGGAGTTAATGAATCTTGGAGTCTTGTTCACAGTAAGCAAAGAATGGAAGGTTAGATGGGCAGAGTGAGTGGTGGTTCGTCTGCACCTGTTGAATGTTTAGCAGGAAAAGGAGCTGGATTCAACACTCGACATTCTCTTCAACTCATAAGGTAAGAAGCTCAGTCATGCAAGAGTAACTTGGAGTGGAGACGCTGCTCCGCATTTTGAGAGGAGCCAGCTGTGGTGGCTTGGCATCTGTTTTGGATACAGAGAGGATTTCCAGGCATGTCCCAACGGACGGAGGCCCCAAGGGGAGACCAAGTCAGTCAAGCTCCCTGGAGGGACCATGTCTCTCAACTGGCCGTGGAACACCGCACGCAGGTTTCCCAAAGAGCATCCCTGTTCTTATATTCAGTCATTTTAAGATAAGGTAAGAGATTATATTGTTTATTTATTTGTCCCACAGGTGGAAAATTTCAATGTTGCAGCACACATGCAGTACAGGACAGTTGGGAGAGCAAACAGGGAGCAAACAACATAAACAATATATATAATATTTTTAATATAATGTGACATTCAGTGGACATTCTGTAATTGCAGTATTGCACATGATGACAGTATGCACTATTTACAGATGCATGACATGTACAAGCTCAGCAGTTTTCATTGTACAGTCTGACAGCATCTGGAAGGAAAGACCTGCAAAACCTCCTCACACAGCGAGGGTGAACAAGTCTGCAACTGAAACATGTTTTGAAAACCTTGGACTACTAAAATAATCGTTAGTGACAACCCCAAAACTGTCACCGGCATAACAAACGCTTCCATTTGTCTTTCCACATTTCGCTTTGGGCAGGACTTGCCAGAGATCAGAGAGCAGAAACTTTCATGACTTTTCAAATGAAATTACAAAAAAATCAACATTCCGAATGAAAGCCTTTCTACCATAAACTTTCCAAACTCTGGCTGTGAAGCTGCCATATCTGCATCTGTGGAGCAGAGAGCAGAGTCATGCCTTTGCGCTCACATGGGACAAAGACAACTCATGGCTGGGGCAGATAACGGCTCGCACAGGCAGATGTTTCGCACTGGGACCTTTCAATTTGTTTGTGCACGAAAACAACGTCTGTCCATGGCGATTTATGTGCCTGGCATTGGGCCACTGTCCGGGCTGCGTGTGAACTTCTTCCACGTTTTAATCCGGATGATAGATGACCAGGTGCTGATGTGACGCCAAGCCGATTGCTCCACAGATATATGTACAGAGAAGATCTAGTGTTCAAATGTATTCCCCCTGTGTACGCACATTATTTATTGACCAAGTTTTAATTAGTGCCAGTCAGCAAGTAAGAAAAAAGATGGGATCCAAACGTAAAAACAATAATTGATAATGGGTCTAGTTTAATTTCATAGGAAACTATTTTGAAAGAGCAAGTTTACAATGTTTTCAGCAAGCGCGAAGACTTGAATTAAAGCTGGGGTATCTGATTTTCAAACAGTGAACTGACAAAACAAAAAACACACAGGGTGAAATACTCCTGCCAATCAGCCCAAAGAGTCATACTGTGACTCACATGGATCTACGTTATGTAGATCCATGTTATGTAGATCCATGTTATGTGGATCCATGTTATGTGGATCCATGTATGCACACAGGGCGGCACGGTGGCTGAGTGGATAGTACTCTCGCTTCTCAGCAAGAAGGTCCTGGATTCGAATCCCAGTCGGAACAGGGCCTTTCTGAGTGGAGTTTGCATGTTCTCCCCGTGTCTGCGTAGGTTTCCTCCGGGTGCTCCGGTTTCCTCTGGGTGCTCCGGTTTCCCCTACCACTAAAAACATGCACAATAAGTATGAATGTAAATGAGAGAGTGAATGGGTGGTGTTGGGGGCTGATGCGCCAGTGTATTCAGCGACTCGCTTCTATCATCACGTGTGTGGAATGATTAGAACAATATCTGAACCCTGAACATTGTAAAGCGCTTTGGGTGACCTTGGTCTGTAAAATGCGCTATATAGATAAACATTACTTACTTACTTACACACAAGTTTCTACAAGTACTTCTAATGGGATTACAATTAATAGAATTATCAAATAATCAATCAATCATAAAGCTTGATTCAAAACCTGTACAACTGATATTATTTTCAGAATATCCAGAATCTTGCAAAGAAACCATTCAGAAAAATAAAAATCCCCTTTTCACCCCAACACAGAGTCTGACAGTTTGGATCCAAGTCAGTCAAGTTCACTGAGGTAGCAAGTAATCTTTATTCATATAGCGCATTTTTACAGACCAAGGTTACCCAACACGCTTTACAATGTTCAGAGTTTATATATGGTTCCATTCACTCCACACATGACAGGAACGAGACGCCAAACACACTGCCATCAAAGCATCCAAGCAGCACCATCCATTCATTCACTGATAACTTTATTTCTAAGTAATAAGATACTATAGAATATAGAATTTAGGTCACGTATTCAGTATTCTGGTACGCACTACATTTTCAAAGTATTCTACCCAACACTGCCAGTAAGCCACAAAGCAGGAGGAAAACAGTAAAATCACTTTGGAGCTGGGAAAGAGAGGTTTTAGTTACTTCAATATTGAATGATAGAATGACAGACGAGCTCTGGCACATCAGACTCATGGGGACACGGTGCTTAGTGGATAATATTTCCAATGATTTTGTCACCAGGTCGTGGCTGAGTGGAGATGGGATGATTGATGTGTTTCGCTGTGATCCGTGCGCCTGCACTTCTTTGCACATCTGAACCTCCAATCGTCCTGTTATAATGGCATTTCCAGGCAGCGGGCCAGAGGACGCACACCTGGCGCATCATTACTGCAGAAACGCTGACCCACGCACACGGCTAAAGCTCTCGGCGTTTAACATGAGGCATTCACACATCGCTGCTCTCAAAAAAATCCCCTCTCTGCAAACCGCACGAACAGACAATATTGTCGTGTGGTTCTTTCTATTGATTCCCCAATTTATTATTGATCTGATTGTAAAGTCTATTAAAAATAAAGAAGAGTTTTCTATCATTCTTGCTGATAAGAGCATGCTATATAAATGCAGAAATATGCCAATGGCTAAAACATGACCCTTGACATGTGAGGAATAATAAAACATGTTTAGAAATCGGCTTTGTAACTGATAATAAAAACATATGCTAACCAGTAAAATATGAGCAATGGTTGCTTGCTCATATATCTTTTTTTTATTATTATACAGGATAGGTATTTATTGTTTTCATGCAGGTGGTCCATAGACGATTATGATTTGGTGGAAGCTGTGGGGATTGAGGCCAAATCGTTGTTGACCTATTAGTGTGCCCCAGGGCAGCTGTGGCTACGATAGTAGATTATCACCAGCGTCTACGATGTGAATGAGCAATGCCATGTGAAGCATCTTTGAGAACACTGAAACACACAATATCAAACTGATGCATTGTTATTATTATTAAAAGCCCAACCCTTACAGCTAAAGTGGGAAACTTGTCTCTACACACATGAGCATTGGTTATTAGGGGTATAAAAAAAACCGAGTTTTTATTGCATTGAATAAAATAATAATATTGATAACAACGACATTCCTCTTTACTGTAAACGGCCACGAATCTCCAGAAACCTGACTTGTACCTCTTCCTACTTGTTTCTTTGGAAATACATTGGCCATAATCTTCCAGAATACAGCCTAAAACGAATACATCGGTAGGAAAAATGCCCCCAGAAAGTAAATCATGACTTTACAACTTCCATTCATCCATCCATTTCCGTCTTCTTAATTCATTTCGGGATGGGGGGTGGGGGGGGGGGTGGCTTTTAGAGCTGCAGCCAAGTCTCATAGCACCAGCCCCTCACTGATCCTCCTGCAGGTGGTGAGTCCACAGGAGGATGGCTGCTTAGTCTGTGAGAGCATAGCCTTGATCTTTCAGGCAAGTGGGGTTGAGTGTCTTGCCCAAGGACGAACGACAGCAGACATTAGTGTTGGTGGAGAAGGTCTCGTGGTGGGTTTGAACCCACGTCATACAGGCTCAAAGGCCAATGCTCTTCCGACTGAGCCACTGTCGCTGCACTTTTATAACTTTTGAATGGTCAAATTCATGCATTTCTTTTTTCTCCCTCAACATTTGTACACATTTGTAGTTCTTGTCCCATATTGCTTAATAAGCGTATTCTTCCTGACTGTTTGATTGCCTGGTCTCTCATTAACAGCGTTGGCACGGGGCACCTTCCACAGGGACACAACAGTAATCCTGATGTCGCTGATGATATGTAATGATGAGAGTGGTGCTGCATCAGTCTGGCTGCGTCCTCTGGGCACCTGCTTACGTCCTGAACCCGCAGATACAATTGCAGCGTGCCGTGATCGGAAAGCAGGGGGCGGGGGGAGACCGAGAGGCGGGGAGAGGGCAGGACACAGACACAGCTAGAGATAGATTGCATCTGTTCTCGGTCCATGGGGGCTTGCTTATCTCCTGACCCAATTGTGCACCCATATGTCGGCAGAAATATCAGCCACAACATGGGGTTGTAGCTTCCTGCTCCTCCAGATCAATGCCTCGCTCCCCAGCCCCTAAATCTCACTGATCTGCTGCCTCTCCTGTGTGAGCGGCTGATGGAATAGGCATGCCTGACTTTTTCTTTCTCCCAGGCTCAAATACTAATGTTTATGAAGACATTTTTTCCCCTTCCCCCTTCAGGCCAGAACACAACGCCTCCCAATGTAATGAAGACACAGGCGATATCGTGTAGTGTTTGAGAGGACATACATATTTCTCTGGGAGCCCTCAGCGTTGGCGATCATTCATTCACTCACTCGCAAAGGAGTCACACAGGATTTCTTATATAAATTCAATACAGATTTATAGCCTTTTAGTTATTCATAAGCTTTAACCAGAAAATAAAACACTATGCTGAGCTGGTTAGATTCTTTAGACTGAACTGTATGTGTTTAATTGGAACCTACGCTGAAATAATGAAGCCGTAACTTTGTGTGACATATTCTCTGTGTGGACAGTGTTGCCTCAAGGTTCTAATAGTATTTCACGATAGTAATAAAAACATCTAAAACCACACTATTCAGACAATAAATACATCTTTGAAAATGCATTTCTGTTACGAACTGTGTTGTTGACAAAAACAGCAGCCGCTCAAGGTTTTTGCTCTATTGAATTGTCTGGACTATATTTAATTGCTGCTTCTCATCTCAATGAAAAACGCATAATTAGAATAATATCTAATTACTGACCACATTAAATCAGCAGGCTTCATCGGCACCACGGAGGCACACAAATCGAGTAAAGTGTGACGCACAAGCTATGGCCTGCGTGGCACCTGAGCTCTCTCTCCTTACCCACAATGCAACTTTAATGTGGCCTTGACAGAGGATGGGATTAGGTAGGCAATTCTGATTGATCCATTATGGTGGCCCCGTGCTTCTCTCTGCAAAGACACCCAACACCAGCTCCACGGCATGCCTGCGTCACCACCGTACGACCTTGTTTGGGCCCGTCCTAGGCTGACCTGCCAGGCCGTTCTATACCCCTCAGTCAACACCTATAGTCGCATGTGTTAGCATCAGGATAAACAGCTATGCATATGATCCTCTGTAGCAGCCAGAAAGAGAGCTTTGAACAGCTTCAGGCCACTGTCACCGGAAATGTATAGAAAAAAATTTGGTTTAACGGTATTATATTTCAATCAAAAAGACTGGAGATAAAAATTGCATTAGAATGTTTATTATCGAAAAATGCATGAATAGACAATTAAACCCAGAAGATGTATTGATTTGGAACTAATACATTCATTGCATTTGAACATGACTGTTTGTTAAGCTTGGCGATTAGACCCCCGTAGGAATACTGCAAGATGTATGCAGGGGGGGTTTAATAAAAATTATGAGCTTGCGACCCCCCCCAGGGGCCTAGACCCAGCTGTTGATCTCCAGAGCTGATGACGTAGCACACATTCCTGCTTCCTGGTGTGTTTATGTGAACAGCAAAGAGCGAAGTGAAGTTTTGTTGAATTTTCAATTGGGATGATTGTCAGAGCAGAGTTTACAGACTTTTTACTCCAGTTCCAGTTTTAGTAGCTATAGGATGCACGTTTTTATATAAATAGGTTTGGTTAATCACAGTGCCCTGGAACCTCTCCACGAGTTTTGAGCCGAGACCTAGGCACCTTCAACAACAAGGTGAAGGTCCATACATTCATCCATTTTCTTCCCCTTAATCCATTTCTGCCAGAGAATCAACCGAGTACACATAGCACCAGCCCCTCACTGATCCTCCTGCAGGTGGTGAGTCCGCAAGAAGATGGCTGCTCTATGACTGGGGGCTTCAGACAAATTGGGGTCAAATGTCTTGCCCAAGGACACAACGACAGCAGACATCAGTGGGAGTCGGGAGAAGGTCTGGTGGTGGCCTTGAACCCACGACCTACAGGCAAGGTGAAGGTGCCAATTTTAATCCCACTATAGCAGCCAGAGAGTGAGCAGTTTGCACTTCATCCAACGGCTGCAGAACAAAGTCCTTTCAGGTCATCAAGTCCCTCATGGTCTAAAAGAATTGGTCGCTAGTAAAGGCGTCAGAGCTGCAGACAAGCTCAATCAATGACACTGGAGAACCCTATCACCAACAGCAAATTCTCTCCTCAAAAATGCTCCTCTTTTTATGGAAGCTGCCCCCGGAGTGACCTCAGCGGGAGGACACAGCTGAGGAAGAGTGAAAATAATTGATAAAGACGGCAGAATGCAGCGCTGGTACACGGCTCGGCTGAAGTCTGGCCCTGGTGCTGAACGGGGCTCGTCTGTGTGTTTTTAATTACTGTAATTCTGCACCTCCTGCTCAATGCTTCCATCTGCTCCTCTCCGTAGGTGAAAGATGGAGAACTTCTGTGGCATCCCTGAGTGGAAAGAGACCAATGATGAGCGTGGCCATCTGTGAGTAAATTCTGTCACTCTCAGGAATGTAAGGATGTCATTTCATTTGCGGGTCAGATCTTGGAGTAGATACTAGTAGTTTTGTAACATGAGAGATTTCAACGTGATTGTCATGGTGTGTGTTTTTGTGTGACTTTACTTTGTTTTTTTTATTTTGACTAATTTTGTGTTTCACCTGTGTCTTTCTGTGTCCGTATGTACCCTGTGCTCCTCTCGACTCGTTGCTGGTCTATTGTCAATGTCTTTGTTTGACAATGAAACATGTTACGGGTTCCGGGTTCCCATTTTTCATTTGAATTTTTGAGTTTGTTTTAACCATATTTGTCATAATTAAAACGTCATTATTTTTGCATTCCTGCATTTCCTTCACTTCACCCATGACAGTGATTTTTCTTTTTTACATTTTAAAGGGCTTGTATGTTATTGTTTGCACTTTAAATGACATCTACATAATTTATATGTGTCCCCAAATAATAGATCAACATGTACTAAGCACATTTGACTTTTTCTGGACTAAAGTTGAACCACAGACTGTAAATATTTATTAGTTGAACAAGTTAAAGAGAGCAGATTATCCAATCAGATATTAGAATGAGTTTGGATTGCCAGTTTGTTAGGAGACAAGTTTTTGACCTTGGTTCTTAAAAAAGAGCATACATACATTTGTTTAGATGAAAGAAAAAAAAGAAAAAAGAATAAAAACATGGGCATTTTTAATACAGAATTTATACTGTTCCAAATCCCAGCAGGTGCATCAGAAATTACTGCTTTGTGTCACAGTCAGGAAGATTCTGGCAACAAAAGTGTGATTGTAATTGTACTGAC